CTGAAGTGTATTTAAAAAAATTTAGAAAAGAGTTAGTTACATTCAGATTTTGAGTTAAAGATATCTCACCTCGCCAAGATTCTAAAAATGGATTCTGAGTTAGTTTTCTTCGTTCTTCTAAAACTGACGCCAAAATAAGAATTACAGATAAGAAATCAGCGAGGAAGAAAAAATAAACTACGAGAATTCCTACGCTTTTCCGCCTTTCGATACATTTATTATGCCTTCTCTTCTTGGTACAGTTTACGAATGCGAAATTAGATCATATAAATTTATAGAAAGAGGGCATAGCATTAGATATATCTACTTCATTCAATATATATTTGATTTCGATTAAAGAAAAGAGAAAACTGAAACAGATTAGATAATCAACTATTATTAAAAATCATAAAATATTTTTAAAATGTTAAATATATATTTCCATTTTTCTAAAATATATATATATTTTTTTAACAGAGTGCGCATATATAAAGGTTGGGTTGCGGTAAGCTAAAAATGTCCAAAAATACTTTTCAAAATAATGACGGGGTCACTTATATGCTTGTAGTAGACTGCAACAATATATTTTTTTCTAACGCACACTTTGTTTTATTATATGTGTAGATAACATCTTGATTTACTATTATAAAAAAAATAAAGCAAACTTGAAAGGTAGATGCGAAACACGCTTATTTTAGCGCCAACTATTTTCTAAATTTTGTGTTTTTGGTACTAAATTCATTCTTTTTTCCTCATATAATGTAAATATTTCTAGCAATTAATGGTGTATTTTTTTAAATATATACCACACAGATGAAGGAAATAATAAGATTATAATAACTTTTTGTTTACAGCTGGTTCTATGTGGAAAAAAAACGTGCTATAATTCTTTAAAAAAGTACGTCTGCTTAGCGTTACTTATCCCACATTATTCAAAACATAGTGATGATAAGGCCATCATTTCTATCAACCTTGAATGTTTTGAGCTAAATTTAAATTTAGAAAAAAATAAAATTTTTATTTCTAGATATTTGTTGGTATATTCGGACAATTTTAAATTAATTTCAAATTAATTATAATGTAGGCATTTTCGGAAAATATTTCTAAATATCTTCGGATATTTTCGGAAAATATGAAATTCATTCTTCCTTTTCAAAAAAATCACGTACAGCAAAAAAAAAAAAATCTAAGATAATACTATATCATAATTTAATTCTGTTAAAAATATTTCAGCAAACGAAGCGTAGAAATACGATATAACAATTTCTTGTTACAACTACATGTAATATTATGAACTGACATCAATGTAACTTTTTCGTTCCTACTCCAAACATATTTTATAAATTGTGACGTTAGAGTGATCTATTCTCCCGATTAATCGTTGAAATTAAATAAGTTTCTTTTCCAAATATTTTATATATTTTTAAAAAAATATTTAATTTAATTTTTAAATAAATATTTTATACATTTTACATTTGTGGGGGCTTTGAGTACTTGCAAAAAAAAATGAAAGCCATTCTTTCTTATGAAACGGATTACAAACTAAACTCGCGGGGCAAAAAAAAAAATAATAATAAATAAATAAATAAAATAAAGTAAAAAAAAATATTAAGAAAAAAATGCAAAATGAAATAAAATAAATATTTCTGTACTTGTCCATCCAAGGACGCAAAATTGTACTTCAACCATTAGTATATTTAATAATGAATAATTATAAAAATTACGCAGGTATCATAATTACGAGCAAAAAGTTTTTGAATCCGCTTCATTATTCGTTTTGTTGCAAATTCCCTTACACCTCCAAGGAAAATGGGAGTTCAGACAAACCTAGAGTAGGCCATAAAGTTTCAAATACTGAAAAGAACATTTTAAAATATCCAAATGAAAATAAATTAGGAGAAGATAATTTAGGACTACTCAATGGAGAAGTTTTCTTCCAATTATTTGTTTGCATTTTGACATTTTTATTTCTTCAGCAATTGAAACTTCATGCCTTACTCTAGGCTTGCCTGAATTCACTTTTTCTTTCTTTTAAAATATAAATTAGTAATGGAGGTATAAGAGAATTTGTGACGAAAACTTTCTCCCGTGGTATGGCGTCCTCTAAAGACTGTTTTCGAAGGCTCCGTCGCCATATGAAATAATGCTTTTTTGCGAATAATATACCATTTTCATAACTGCTGGCAGTTATGAAAATAGCAAGATCAATATGAATCAAATATGAATAAAACAAACTCACAGCAGATGCTAGACTGTTAGATTAAGTTTATTTAGCCAATCGAAAGCAAGCGCTGTCCATACATATTCTTAAAATGGCGCAAAATACGGAGAATATGGAGAAAAGTCAGTTTTGAGAAAGTGAAAAGTGTTTGTGTACTAATTTTTTAATATTTTAAAACTTACTCCAATATTGCATTATCTGGGTTTAATTTTTTTTTCCCTTCAAAAACTGAGAATAAGGTAGTGATTTTGATAATTTTTATCTTGTGGTAAAATGTCGCCAATTCGACGTTTTTTAAAATACTTTCATAACTTTTAAAATATTTAAGCTATTTGTCCGTTCTAAAGTTCAGATAATTTTTTTACCATAAAATGGTATATATAATTTAAAATCGTCGCTTTGCTTCAGGGTTAATGCACTAAAACTAAAGCTCTTTTTATTTCCTTGCTGACATGGCTTCGAAAAACCATGTTAAGGGGCCCAAACTTTGGATCGCTTTTCTGCCTAAATAATTGGGACCATATTTTCCAAACTGCGGATATCCCACATGTTTTGAAGATCAAAAATCCAAATCCGCCGGGTAAAATACATGTTTATTCAGTAAAAGTACATTTCTTTGTCTGATTTTGTAATTTAATATATTCTTTGCCCTAATTTCCTAATTAATTAGATTATTTAGGAACAAATCTGCAAACCATTAAGATTCAGTCCAAGTACATGAAAATTAAATCCATTAGATCATAAGTTATAAATGGGTGCTCTTCTTTATTCACTAATTATCTGAATTCTCTATTTCTACGTGAAGTTTTTGCTGAAAAAATTAATTTGAGCAGAATATGATGTTCCATAATTACCACCCATAATGTATATTTATAGACTCCTTGTCAAAATCATTACCGAGTAAAAAAATATGCATATCTAAAAAAAAACTAACTTTGTGAATGAATGAATGAATGAAAACCAACGAAGAAAACATCTGAGCTAGTTTGATAGCCTGATGAAACTTGGGACGCATTTAATATAGCTTTTTACAAGTCTCCTATGTTCCCTTTGGTAATGAAACAAGTTTTGAGATTTTCAGTATACCTGCATCCTTAAAATTTATTCGTTAGATCACGATAGTATTGTTTTTGTTTTACCTTAGCTTTTTTTAATATTAATGCCCGACCTCTAATAGTTATTTTTTCCCTCTTTGTTACATAAAGTTGTACGAGCTTGAAATTATCACAACAGTAAGTATGTAATAACTTGGTTAACTGATTATCCCATTTGGTTATAAAATTAAAAACAAATATATTTTTGGCAAAATTACTGGTCTGTCCTCCCTTCTGTTCTTAATAATATATTTCAAAATAATTAAAGAGAAAACCAATAGACACGTTATTTTATGCTGTATTTCGTAATTCCTGCCCTTGATCTAAATTTTTGAAATCTTTGTCAAAAGGAAGTAAAAAAAGGTCATAAATTCAATCACTCTGGGGTAAAAAGTTAATTTTATACGAGAGAGAAAAAAATTCTATCGAAATCTGTCGAATAACTAGCGTGGAAACGAGGTGAAAAACATCAAAGCCACTTTAACTGTCTGATAAAATTTCAAGGTGTTTTTAGTAATCTATCACCTTTTAACTTTTTTGATTCTTTGGCAATTAAACAGGTTTTGATATTTTTACAATCCTCTTTAGAGATTCGTATGATTTCGAATGCGATTTTGTCTTTCCTTCGCTTAAGTATTAATTTGCGACCCTTTCCTAATGCGTATACATTTTTGGCAAGTATTCTAAAAGATGTAAATTAATTATTGTTACTGCGAAGCACTCTTTATCTGTATATTTACTCTTGGATACCCTGCCTTAGGATCCGTCGCGTTGAGTTAAGCTTCGTTTATGCGAATTTATTAGCTTTTATTTTATGTGAAATTCATGCAGTTCTATTCGTTGATATCATCTCAGTATTTTATGAAACAATAGATTTAAAAAAAAATCCTACACTGAATAAGATGCACTATTTTTGGGTTGATGTACCGATTTGGTTTCTAAAAATATTTATCAAACTATTAGTATTCAAAACTTCTGTTCAGCAGAGAAAATTCAAAATAAACTGCAAAATCAAGCACGAACTTGATTTATTTTTCGAATAATTGCCAAGCCCTGACTAATAGCGCATATCAACTGTTTAGTTTAAAAAGTTTTTAGAGCATGATATTTGAACTCCTTGAACCAAAAAAATCAATTTTTTCATTAAAAAAATAATTCTGTGGAATGATTTTTGTAGATGAGTTCTGGGGATATCCCTTTTGTTGGGTATACATCTTGCTAGCTTAAGATTACTTTTAGGTTCCTTTAATTTTATATTCTGGTATAAAAGTAGGCGTAGAAAAATTTAAAATTGAAATTTCCTTGCAGATTATACTTTTTATTATTTTTATTTGTATTAAATTTATGATGAAAAATAATTGTTTTATAAAATGTAGAATCTACATATTGCAAATTCTTCTCTCGATATAAGAAATCATTGGCAAATAAATAAATAAATAATTACTTTCATGTTAATACTATAAATATTTATCGGCGTCTTAAAGTATGCATGGATTCATATTTAATTTTTTTCCCGCTGTCTCTTTACAAAACTTTTTAAACAAACGATAAACAATATATAGTTTTCTTATAAACGACAGGAAAGCTGAGAATGAATTCATGAAATTGTATTTTATATAATATCATGCAGCCTACACCACACCTTCATCCGATTTCAATAACAGGACTTTTCGCGGAAAAAAGTTTGTTTAGTTATTTTAGTTCCAGCTCGAACTGATAACCTTTCAGCCATTGTAGTTTATTATACCGTTAACTTTTTCAAACAAGGAACCGCAGCATTAAGAAGACGGGGATAATTCAACATGGCTGCGCGATCACATGTGGATACTGCTGTTAATGAGAGAAGACTTCGTCCAATTTATGGTATGCAAAAGCTTTTTTTAAAAAAGAAGATTGGTTTCTAATAACAACCTCTTATGATGTATTTGAAGCATATCAGCTCTGTGCATCGTTTATTTTCACCTGATGCAAAAAAACGCTTCTATGCAGTGTTTACATCTCCAAAATTTGGTTGTTACATAAAAATAGCATTAATTTCCTTATATAGCAAGGTTTATATATCTGAATTTACTAATTAAATCTTCAAATTTTAATGAAGGTTCTTATAAATTTCATAATAAACCTTAATGTTTAAATTTCGATGGATTAAATAGAAATCCTAAACTGTAAAACAAACGTAAACAAAGAAATTCAAATCGTTTGCAATATTTAATAAATTGCATTGTTGTGATTAATAAAAAATTTTTAAATTAAGTGTGTAATTTATCAACAAAATATTTTTTTGTGCAAGTTATTGATAAAAATTTGTTGCTGATTGTTTGTGGTATAATTAGATAAAAAAAATTTATTAGAAAAATTTATGAAATATTCTTTTAAACTCACTGTTTATTTTAAGTAGAATGTATTTGTTGTAAACATAAGGTATTAATTTTTTAGTTATTGTATCCTATCTATAAATTATTGAACATTTGAGTTTGAATTTAACTCTCAAAGAACGTAATAGGTTACATATTTTTGTTACCAAACAAAATTTGGTATGAGTTGTGTTATTATGTAAATATTCAATAATCAGAACTGTCAAAAGTTTATTCATTATGTCTAGGGCATTGTGTTCAGTATTTTTAAACAACATATTTTTTTTATAGGTTTACTGTCGCATAAAAAACTTACATTTAGTATTACCCTGGAGTGCAGAATATGTTTGATCGCATCAACGAGGTTCAGAGAATATTTAGCCAGCTCTGAAGAATATTTTTGTTCTAATTAAATAAATTGCTACCAAATTTTTTATTGTTAAAAGCATGTCACTCAACAAATTTCACATATAAATTGTTGCTATTTCAATATACATTGATTCTTAATTTTAGCACACGTGCTAGTTTATTCAAGAATCGTGTAAAATCAAATTGTGTTCATTGTTAACAAAAATAGTTGGACAAAGTACATGTTTACTCTATAAGAAATTTTTTAAAAATTAATTGCAAGAAATTAAAAGGTACCTTAATTTTGGGGGAAATTTTAAGCCAAAAAACTGTCCTGGGGATATTTCTGTATCGTGATCTGTTGAGCCAACTACAACCGCCAAATGGATTTTAAACTTAAAATTTTTTTTAAAAAAGCATAGAGGTTTGTTTGAAGGTGGCTATGAGTTATATTCAGATTTGCCCCTTTTGTGATATTTATTTAGTATCTCACAAACTGCTGCCCGGAAGTTGCCAAAACTTGGCGATTATTCTGCCACAGATAACGATAGAGATCTTTTCAATATAAGGTTCTGAAATTTTTCTGCACCATTGTTATGTGTATCTCTTGTTTGTAAATCCTTGTAGAGTTTTAGAGATGTTCTTAATAGATATGAGGTGATATATAAATTTATTTTCTTGAAATAATTATTAAATTTTTGTTTAGCAATTTTATTGTAGAAGTGTCATGAATTTGTGTCCTAAAAATAATTTAATTTCCTGATTTTCGCTCCTGATATTTTTGCTCTTTTGTTGAATCTATTAAAAAGTTGGAATATTTAAATGACATTTTGATGCGTTTTACAGTGTTCTAGGTACTAAAATATTTATTTTAAACGCATTTTACATTTGAAGATTGGTTATTGTTTATTAAGGGTTATCATTATATTTTTAGATTGTCTTGATAATGGCAACAACAAAAAAGCTCTTCAAGAAGCTGACAAACTTCTCAAAAAACAAAGAGATTTTCTGTGTGCAAAGGTAATTAAAAGTTATAAAAATTGTTATGAATAATTATGGCGGAATTGTAAGAATTTTTGCTTAATTTGTCTGCGTGAAAATATTTTTAAAAATTTTTCTAAGTTTATTGCTAACTATGCTTTTAAACTAGTGTTCTCCCTAAAAGGGCTACCTATCCTATCTGCCCTTTGATCCCTATGCTCCAACTTTGCCCTTTTTGTAAAAATAAGATGCAATCCCTTAAAAACACTGCCTTTATAGCTGAACATTTTTAACTGTCTGGGGTATATTCCATTTAAAAAAAAAAAATAACTCACTGTTCAAATAATTCATTGCACACTTGTTAAATTATCTGTGTTTATAGGTTTAATTCTGATTACTATTACAAATATTTACTTTGTTAGAATTATTTTCAACTGGTTAAATTTTTATAAGTTTCTTTTTTTTTTTTTTATCAGGGGGTATATTTATGAATTTTTAATGAGTTTAAGTGTTAAAATTATTTATTAAATAAATACTTTTTTTTATGTAAAAAAGCACCCTTTGAATATTTATTTTTTCATATTCAGTTTGAATTTTAGAAAAAAGCTTTCAAGTTATTTATAAATTGATAATTTTTTTTTTTCAGTTTACTTTTTTTTTTTTGAGGAAAAAAAAATTATGCTCACAAATAATCTTTTAGAATGCCTTTAATTATTTTTTTCTCTTTTTTTTTTAATGTGTGACAATTAGTGTTTGAATTTTCTGCATAAAATAGCACAATAGGGTAATTTAAAAATTGTTTAGGGTCAAATTCAGTTATTGCAGAATATTTCACAACTTAATGATTGTTTTTTAGGGTGTTAAGTGAGTGCCCTTTCAAAATTCAAAGTGGTCTTTATTATTCCTAGGGAGAACTCTGCTTGAACCTTTTCCACCTTTAATTTTTTCTGCCTGTGTTAATTTTCTTTTTGTTAATAGGCTCTTATCAAATTAGTCAACCTAAGGAAATAATAATTTGACAATTTTTCTCTATTTTTATTACTGTTTATTCTTCCCTAATTGATCAGTTAGAGAATTTGCTGAGTATTTCTTATTAATATTTTTATTTTATTATAATTGTTGATTGCTAACTATATTGTTACTTTTTCCTATTTTATTTGTTTATTATACGAACCCTATTCTTTAAGTTAATAGTCTCTTCATCAAATTACTTTTCTTATAGATCAATATAAGTTGATGATTTTTTCCACTGTTAACTATTTTCCCTTTCCACTATTTCCTACTTTAGCATTTGAAAAGTATGGTAAAAGTTTTCTTTTGTTTGTAGGCTCTTAAAGCTCTTGCTCTTGTTAGATTGGGCAGAAATGAAGAGTCATTTAATGTTGTACAAGAAGTGCATGCTGAAGATCCAACAGACGATCCTACTCTCCAGGCAATGACCATATGTTATCGAGAATTACATAAATGTATGTCAACTTTATTAATGTGATTTTTCTAATGTGTATTCTTGTTTTTTTATCTTTTCGATTTAAACGTTGTTCGTGGAAAATTTGTCCCCATCTCGAAATTTTTTTTGTACTACTCATTAATATTAAGAAGGGAAAAAACTTAAAATGTAATGTTATATTAATACGTATATCATTCTTTTTCTTAAATAGTAATGTCAAGTATGTAATTTGAGTGTAATATTTTTCAGTGACAATATTGATTAGAAAAATTTAAAAGTGATTCTTATAAACGAACTTTTTAAATGCTTCATTGAAATGTTTCTGAGTGAACATTCTATTACAAAAAAAGTCAAGCATAAAAAGAACACAAAATAAAGCAGTAACTTCATTTAACAGAGAATTAAAAGTAAAAAAACTTTTGCAAAATAAATTTAGATTGCTTTTTCTTGAAGGCTTTGTAATAGGTAAAATAAGAAGCATCCTATATTAAAAATACAGTAGGGAACCGATTATCCGGAACGGTCGAGACCATCACTATTCCGGATAACTGATTTTTCCGGTTTTCTGAATCGTTACAAAAGCCGTTTTTTTATTTATTATTAAACCCAACTAAAAAAAAATAAATTTGGAAATAATCTAAAAATAAGAAAAAACGATGAAGTAATACACTAATGATTATTTCTAAAATGATGGTAAGGTAAACATCTTTAAAAAAAGAAGGAAAAATTATAAAATCTTATGAGGGAAAAATTTTTTTTTTTTTTTAAATGGCGAGAAAATTTATCGAATTTCGTTCCGGTTTTCTGATTTCCAGATAATGGGTTCTGTACTGTATATCTCAAACTGCAGTTGTAATATGAGGATCAACCTTAAGCAAGGCAACACAATATATTTTGTGACTTTTGAAACTTAAAAATGTTTGTTAAATTAACATTGATTTGTTTATGGTTACTAATAATATATTACTATTCCAGTTTCATAAAATTTTAATCATGTGCTTGCATGTATTTATTAAGTTTTGTTATAGAATAGTTAATTATACTTCAATGTATATTTTAAATAAAAATTCAATTATAACACATTTTGAATATTTAATTAATTATAAAGAATAAAACTGGGTAAGTAAAAAAAGTCTAGATTTTTTTATAAGCACTGTTAAAAAAAAATCATGAACTTTGTTTAATTTTAGTCTACAAAATAAATGTGAACACATATATATATATAAATACATGATCAGTGATTATTGTAATTATCAGATTTTGTTTGTTTAAGTATAAAAAATTTTTTTACAGTGGAACTCATTGCTGATGCATATGAGCGAGCCACTAAAAAAGATCCTCAAAATGAAGAACTTCTTTCTCATCTGTTTATGTCTCATGTTCGCAATGGGGATTATAAAAAGCAGCAACAAACAGCCATGGCCCTGTATAAGCTCAAGCCAAAAAATCCTTATTACTTTTGGGCAGTAATGAGTATTGTTATGCAAGTATGTTTCTTTTTTTAAAAAACCATCTAAAGTGTTTAATTTATTTTATAATATCTGAAACATTTTATAAGAGTTAGTGAAATTTTAAAGTTTAAAAGATTTAGCATAACTTTTTCCAAAAATAATATTAGTGCTTCATGATACATTGTATGTTACCTTCTAATGCAATAATCAAACAACGCTCTTTGAAAAAGCCAGCATTAATTTTATTTAATAGTTTATTTTTTAAATGCCAAATACCTTTATTCTCTGATCAGATTTGCGCCCAATTTTTTTTATTTTATAAACTTTTCTGTATATTTTTGATGTAAGTAGTAAACTGGGGCTTAACAGATGTGCATAATTGACGAAAAAGTTCAAACGCTGTTTGCGGAATATTTTATTACATTATTATTTTTAAAAAATGGTGACTTGCATTTTAAATATGCTAAGAAAGCTCAGTATAAGGTAAAATAAAGCAAGTCCATAACAAATTTTATATCTTCAAATAACTGCTAAATTCATGCTATTGTGTAAAATTTTCTTAGTAATTTGTTTGTTCAAAGTTTTAATTTTGGTTGTTGATGCTACAATCTGTAAAATAATTTTGATTAGTCAATAGAAGAATTCACTGTTTTTGTTTAACTTCACTATTAATTGGAAAGATTGCTCAATTTTGCTTGAATTTTAATATTTGTTCTTTTTTTCAGGCAGAGAAGGCAGAAGAAACATCAACTAAAACAATGCTGCTTTCACTTGCTGAAAGAATGACTGAAAAGTTTGTGAAAGAAAATAAATTAGAGGCTGAAGCTGGTACTTGATTTTTTGTCGATCATTTTTAAGTTGATCAGTTTAAAATGGCTAATGTAATGCGATAATAAATCTTTTTTTTTCCCCTCTCCCCAAATGTTTCTTACTGGATTGTATTGATTTAAATGGAGTGATTTTTACTTAAAAAAATTTTGATTTAAAATTTTAAAAAAAGTGTATATATTTTCCGAACTAAAATTTATTTATTGTTACATTATGTTAACATTTGAGGAATTTGAAATTGAGAATATAATTAGAACTGTTGATCCTATCTGTTCTGAGCAATCAGTGTATCTTACTTTCATTATTAAAACTGAGTTTTCAACCACTTTCATTTGAAAAAAGAAACAGTGTATTAGAACTGTTGTATGTAAAGAAAAGGTATAAAAAAATTCATATAATTTATACTATTTTAATTCATATAATATGTATATAATTCTTTAATTCATATTCATACTACATTAAATTCATATAATTTATACTACTAATAATATCACTGGGCTTTTATGCACTTTAAAAGTATTTAATTTTATTTTGTGTAACAAAAAATAATCACCCTTTAAAGCTCTTATTTTTGGTTTAGAGTAATTAAATCTTTTATATTTTATTATTTTGTTTAAATATTAATTTTTTTTATTGTGGTGTTTTGACACACAGATTTCTAATTTGAGTTATCACTTTTTGACACGTTTGTTTCATATCATATAATTTTTTTCAGCAATCATTTATAATTTTTTGTCTTTTTTTTAGTTTTTGATTTGCAATATTTTTTAATACAATGTCAAAGATATGCTTCTTAATACTCAATCAAATGCTTTGAAAAGAAGTGCCTGGTAGAAGGATAATTTAAAATGACTCTTGGACTTCATATTAAGAAAAAATGATAAGCTTATGTTCATTTAATTCTTTCTAGATTACCTTTACTAGTGTTTATAAGTTGAATCTCAATTTTTTATTTTCCACATTAGTTCACATCATTTCAATATTTTTATGTTTCATTAATTAAATTTTAAAAATGGTAAAGTGCTACTTATTTTTAAATCACAAAATGAATACAAGCAATAAGGTAGTTTATGTATATATTTACAATATATGTATATATTTACAATATGTGTATTTAAAATGTTTTTTTTTAATATTTAAAAGGTTTGTTAAATGTTAAAAATTTGTCATTCCAGATATGGTACAACTATATTTTACTCAGAATATTACTTAATATTTTTCTTCTTTTTTTTTTAATTTTAGAAGTTCAACTTTATCTCATGATTCTTGAGAGACAAGAAAAATATGAAAAAGCTATTGAGGTATTGAGCAGTCCATTGAAAGGTAATTTTACTATCCATTTTTCTATAGCTTTTTATTCTTTCAATGATTTGTAATAAAGAGAAATAATTAATATTGTAGAAAAAATGTCTTCTGAAAAGGACTTACCTGAGAGAGAAGCTCAGTATTTGATTTATTTGCTGAAATGGCCTGAAGCAAATAAAGCATACAAGAAACTCATTCTAAAAACGTATGTTTTCTTCATCTTTTACTTTCTTTCTAGCTAAAATTTTACTGTGTCAGCACTTTTTTTTAATTTCAGGCATGTGATTTTTTAAACTTTTTGTGGAACTCATACTTTTGGAACTTATGAAGAAATTAAATTTCTAAACTTTGATATTTTATTCTCTTTAATCAGAATTTTATTTTTTCTATATAAATCTGAACAGTTTGTTGGACAGTCAATGTACACAGTTTCTTTTTTTGTTAAAGAAAAAGCTTATAAATTAAATGTTTTCTTTTCGTGTAAAATAATTTCACAGGGCTTTTCATGATTTGAGTGGATAGTATTTTCAGACATTTTGTTCTTTTCCCACTCTCTTTGTTATTTGTATGATTGGTATGTAGTAGGCATATTAGCATGTAATGCCATAAAGGAAACATATTGATAACTTTTGATCCAATGTTGGGATTATCGTGTATTTATATGAAATTTTAATGGTTTGAATGAATGGATCCTTAGTGCAAAAGAAATTATTTTTTGCTGTGACAAATGTGAAGAAAAAGTAATTTCTCAGATTAAGCATATTTTTTTCTGTTGGATTTTTATTTTCAATATGTAGTGGGTGGAATTAGTTAATATTAGTTTTATTGTGATTCTTCACATTCTATCTCATTAGTATTAGAAATTTTAAAATTATTAGTTCAGTTATTTTGTTTTGAATTTGAATTTTTTTTTCTATTTTAAGCAACATTTTTATACATATATCTGCATTTTAATCTAGGCCTGATGCATGGAAATTATATGAGGAATATTTTAAATGTATTCAAAATCTTGTTGACATGAATTGGCAACCTGAATTAAATAGGTATGTTCATTGCTTTTCAATTTATATATTTATCTTCCTTTTATTTTTACTGTCTTTATAAATATTGTTAAAAAATATAGATAAAAATTTCATTTCTAGTAATGATACACCAGAAGAATGTGTTGATTATACATTTGAAATGGCAATTGACTTTGTGGGTGCCTTAGTTGAAGAACAAAATGGAGAAAAGGAAGGCAGGAAATTACGGGGACCATATTATGCTATGTTGAATTTATTTGATAAATTATTGAAAAAAGAGGATCCCCTGGCTCAAAAAATAGGTAAATTACTTTTCATAAAGTTTGTGACCTGTAAAAGAAAGTTGATATTTTATTTATGTTTATATAAAACCAATACACCTATACAATGTCAAAGCTTAAATTGAAAAACATATTATAGTTTCTGTTAATAATAGAAAGTAATCATTCATGAAAAGAAAGCTGTAATATGTCTGTTTATGCAGTATTTGTGTGTGTGTGTTTTCTTTTTTTGTATTGTTTAGCTTTATATATAAATATATTCATCTGTTTATGCAGTATTTGTGTGTGTGTTTTCTTTTTTTGTATTGTTTAGCTTTATATATAAATATATTCATAGGTATATATATGTTCAAAGTTTACTCTCTCATCATTAATGTTTATGTTATGCTTTTTGTTGGTCTGCATTAAAATACTATTGGAGTAAAAGAAATTATATTAGTTGCATTTTTGGTAATTCTCTTGTATTTGATTTTTTTTGTGGGTATTGGTGTTATGTTTAAAAATATAAGTGTGGTAAGTGAAGATGGAACAATTGAATTAGGTATAATTAAAGTTTGGTTTTGTTTTAAAATTAAGAAGAAACATTTTTCTAAAAGAAGAATTTCTATATGGCTGTTTATTCTCATATTTTTGACCTAATGTTTTATAACAATATGGTATATAGTAAAAAGTATGGTGGATTAGATTTATATGTTTCTTAAGTTTTGTAAAATATAAGGGTTTATAAGTTATCCCCAATTTTTTATGTCATGCTAGAAATATTTGTTTGATACATTTACTATATTTCTTTAATTTTCTTTTTGATACATTACTTTACTTTTCTTCTTGGTACAAGTTTTTTCGCTTAGGAAAATTGGTTCTCTGTTTTTGCTAAAATGCTTTATGATACTTCAAATTAATTGCCACATCATTCTAAATAGTAATAATAATAGCTTAAAATAAATGTTTTAAAGATTTGATTTCTATTTAGTTAAAGGAAAAGTTTTTATTAGTATAAATTCTAAAAATTTTTGCTGGAATTTGTGTTGTTACTTTTTTCGCCTTTAAACTTGTGATGTTTTATGATTTTATAGGTTCTCCTGTTGATTTGCTTGTAAATTTTTTTGAACAAGTTGGCACAAAACCAACATGCCCAGTTGATATGTCTTTCATGATGAGTGCTTACGGATTGAAAGAGGAGGAAATTAGAAAAGTATTTCCCTTATCACAGTTCTGAAACATTTAGAATATTGATTAAAGTATATTTTTTTGTATTTTATTCTGATAGATATTTTAAAATTGATTTTTAAACCTTGTAAGTTCAATTTTTTATTAGGCGTCTTATTTTAGCTTATTTATGTTTTCTGTCTTATAAGGTAGTTCTTGTAGACTTTCAAGTTTGTTTGTTTTTTATCAATCGTTATAGCTCTAAGTATGTTGATCCAACTGCATAGTTTTGTAGCTCATTTAATATTTTATAAAAAATATTGCTTAATATAACTTTAAGCCACTGATATGCATATATAGTAGCTAATATAAGCAAATGTGACTGTGAACTTTTCGCTTTTTTTTTTAAATTTTTACTTTTTCTTTTCAGTGTGCTCATATTTTTATAAAATTAATAACTGAACTCATTGTTAATAATTTAACTGAATGTGGACCTTGTGAGGTGTGGAGCTTCTTAACTGTTTCTTATTATATATTAATATTTGCCTTGATTTTGGTTGATATTCAAAGTAAGGAAAATTATTTAACCATCTCTGTTACTTTACGAGCCTGCATTTTTATTTTATTTGTGTCTAAGAGGAAACCATCTTCAAAATCAGTATTTTTTTTGGTTTGGAACAAAGTTGCAGCACATATTTTTGTTATGGCTATAAGTTAGATTAGCTGATAACTGTTTGTGCATTTGATAATTTCTGACATTTTCATCCCATTTGTTGAAAATGCTTGCATGTTGTATGTTTATTTTGATAAAGTTTTGCTATTAAATTTAAATTACTAAATATAACTTAAACTTTTTTTATCGATTGTGTCACCATATATAAATATATATAAAGAAAGTTGTATGTGTGACAATAAAATTTTACATTAATATAATGTACAGGCTGTCAAAATTTTTGCTATAAATTGTGATTGTTCATCTCCAAAATTACTAATCAATTGTTCATAGGTTTATTAAAAATTAAATAATCATCTGTTTATTTATTATTGTTTGTTATTTAGTGTTATCAAATTTTTTTTTATGCATTATAAACTTATTCAATTGCTTTTTTAGGTGCTTGAAAAAATTGAAGCCTCTGTATCAAATGATAGTTCAGAGAATCCCAGTTTTCCTAAAGATGTAAGTTAATAAATTTTTCTTGCTGTAATTCTTTTTATAAATGATTACCTCATTTCAATAACAATTAATTTTTTGCTTGTTTTTTCTGACAAAAATTATTATTATTTTAGCTAAAGCAAATGTATAGACATTTGTGTTACACTCAATTATGTGATCATTTTGGTATTAAAGAGAATGATAAACAACAAGATCTCTTGACTTATACGTGTCAGCTTATTGAAAGATATTATCATGCCTTGAAATTAAGTATGTATTTTTGAATTGTGTAATTTGAAGTTTCATAATTTTTCACTCATTAATTACATAGTTCTCTTTGATTTAAATAAAACAAGCTATGAAGCTTTGCCTCTTTAATAACATTAAATTGAAGGTTTTCGAGTTTTTTTGTAAAAAAATTTATTTTATTTATTTATTTACTTACTGTTTATAAATTACTCGCACCTTAAATTTTTTAAATCATTAAACTACTTTTTTCTGAATGTCTTTTGGTTTGAAAAATAGTTTGAAAATCTTTGTTTAATTAAAGTTGACATTAATCTTTTTTTGTGCCAGACTTAGTTTATATTACCATTATGTAAATTTTTATTGGGTGTTTTATATTTACATAGTGTTCTTGTGGCATTTAGCTCACAACTATTGCATGCTATTTGTAAAATTTGCATTGTACCAGCTATAAAATTACTTATTTATTAACTACGTTATACATGTTAGAAAGAAAATTTTTTTTCATTTACAGCACCAAACCTCTGGACTACTGAGTTTCAACCTGCTGATAACTATGCTTTAGTTGCTGCCCATACCATTATTAATATTTGGGAAAAATTTGGTATGTAATTTGGTCATTATTGAAAATATTTCCTTTAGATTGCTGCATTTAAAATGCTTACTATATTCATTTGTATCTCACATATTTAAATATCATTTATAACGTAGGAGTTATTGTTATTATTTTTGCTTTATGAATTTTGTAAAAATCTTTATTTTTAAAAAGTTTGAGAATTTGTAACTGACAATTAATTGTAAATAATTTGACAGTTAGAATAAGTATTATAAATTTATTCTCTTCAGTTTCAAAAAATTAGTATAAGTATTAAAGTTTTTTATAAATAAATTTAAAAAATAAATTTTAGGGTCTATTTTATTTAGCTTATTTAGAGAATGTCATATTTTTGAATCTTTAAGAAAGCTAAACAAGTTACCTATTTTTTTGTTGCTTTTTCCTATAATACCATTGTTTTTTTTTTTTCTTAAAATTTTTTTAGCATCTATTTTATTTAGCTTATTTAGAGAATGTCATATTTTTGAATCTTTAAGAAAGTTTGAATCTTTAAGATAGTTAAACAAGTTAACCTATTTTTTTTGTTGCTTTTTCCTATATTGCTACATTTTCTTATGTTTGTATTTATTATACAGGCCATCATTTTTCCTCCGTACTAATGTTTCCTGTTATCATAAACTTTCAGTTTCAATAAATCTCTTATTAAATAACTGTGTAACCACACTCATATTTTTTATTGTTATTCGGTAAATGAAAAACTGACTAAAAATTTTAAACATTTTCAGTGTTATGTCTGTCTACTTTAATAGTTTGAATGTGGCAAAAGGTTTTAAATAAATCAGCTTAATTGGTATTTTATTGCTAATGTTTTTTTCTTTTTTTTTTCAGGTGAAGAAAGGTTTATTGCTCAAGCTCTTGTCCTTCTTGAACAAAGTCTCAAAAATAGCCCATCTAATTATTTAGTAAAAATCTTGTTATGTAAACTGTATAATTCTATAGGTAAACTTAAAAGTCCATTTTTTCCTTCCTTTCTATATATTGTATTAATCTAATTTTTTTCTGTTTGAATTTATTTTTTCAAACATTGAGCTAAACTTTGTTACAATGTTCATACCTGTTAGGCATTATACCTATTGAAGCTATTTGTACAAATTTAGAAATAATACTATTGTTAGAGTTAGATAGCTTGGCTGTTTGGTTTATCTAATATATTTAACATATTCAGTTACTTTTTTCCGCTTTAATAATTCATTATTCTTTTACATCTACAATTCAAAAGTGTAGTAAAACATGTTCTATCTTAAATTTCTTTATACAAAGTGCATATTTTGTTGCTTTATTACTTTGTCATACAAATAATAGAATATTGTCAAATTCCTGCACTTATATTACTCTTTAATATATATATTTTGTGATTAGCAATGTATTTGTTTTTACATTTTGATTTCATCATCAATCAATAAATCTTCGTGGGTGCATACAAAAATCTAAATTTTTTATATTTTTCATTCCATTAGGAGCTCAGTTCTTTACATCTTTTAGAGCTTATTTTTTCTATGCTGTCCAGACTTTTAAGTTGAGATCGGCTTTCTCTATTCTTTTAAATTTTATTCTTTTGAAATCCACCTGTATTTGTCTCTGTCAAGTCATTTTCGATGTTACTCTTTTTCTCCTGCCATCAGGGGCCCAGGAGAGAAAATTAAAATCTATAGACAGTTTTTACCTAATTTACTCATTTATTTTTTGCTTTCTGTATATTGTTTATAATATTCATGTTTCTAAATTAATGAAATTATCAAAATAATTTAATATTAAAGGAGCAGATTACTATTTTTATCTAATAGTTATCAACTTAAAAAAAAAGTAATCTTAATCTGTTTATTTCTGGGTTAGACATTAGACTGTCTGTTCTTTTTTATATGACATGTCTCATTTTTTTCATTGATAATATTTAAATCATAACCTTGTGTTACGTAACTAACTTAAACTAATAATTGACAGAATTTTTTTTATATATATATATATACTAGTTACATGTACAAATAATTTCCTTTATGTTTACAATTTCTTTGCAATTAAATATTATATCTTGAAAATTATCATGCAAAGCTGTTTAATTCTTTGACAGAGAATGATTTTTAAGTCTTACCATAATAAATTATTTAAAAATAGTTCCTTTTTTTTTAAGCTGCTTATATTTATAGAGTATTTTTTTATCAATTCAGGTGCTGCTGATGTAACAAACTCCTTGCTTTATGATAGCATGGAAATTAAATATATACAACAAGATACTTTAGGGTAAGTATTAAGCTGTATACATTCCCACTATAGTGATACAAATCATATAATTTGTTTTATGAACATGTGAAAGTATTATTCCCATTTACTTTTAAAAGATATTGATAGCTTTAATTTTAAATAAATGATACAATCAATACTGAATATATCGAATGGACATTATATTGTTTGATTTCCCTGTGATAGTACCTAAAATAAGGGAAACATTATCTCATAACTTTGAAATATTTTTATAACATGTTATTATAAATTTTAAAAATACTTAATGTTGGCTGATTATTGATAAACAGCATTACTTGCTTTATTTATCAAAATATACAACAATGCATGCCCCTCTTGGTAAAATAATTAGGCTAAAATTGAAAAATATTTTGTGTCAACTATAGAAAATGACACATTGAGTTCAGATTTGATAAAGAAAAAATATATAGAGATTTTCTTTTCTTATATGCATCAATTACTATGATTGAAAAAAATTAAATACAAAATGACATGAAACTCTGAAATAAACCTTCTATTCTATTTCTTGACTTCCAAACCTTCAAAATAAATTTTCAAGAAGGAAGAATATAAATTTATTGTTCCTTTTGAAAAGATCACATTTTAAAGATACTGCATCAGTATGGTTTATCATGTAGATTTCCATAGATAGTTTTATACCTTATTTATTATCAATACTGTATAAAGAGTGAAGAATATTTCTGCACATGTTAAACTGTAAACTACCTAAAATCTAGGACTAAATAATAAATATCTTCCCTGCAAAAACAAATTTGTGATAACAGGAAATGAAACAGTGAGGACTTTAAATACTTTGTTAAATTTTTATATCAAATTACTCCTTCCAGAGTTGAGGCAAGTCTTTAAAAGTGTTCAGTTCAATCTGTTAGTTCTTGAAGTTCTGAGAAGTTAAGTTCTAAATACGTATTCTTCATCATTTGTCCTTTAGCCGGTGCTAACTTTCTTTCTCAAAATGAAATATTTTAGTGGGTGAAAGTAATAAAGAGAAGAAACAAACTTAATACAAAATAAAAATATGTTAATATAGACTAACCTGATAATTAACAAAATTGCTAAGAACAGGGGTACCACACGTCAAGGAAAACCTAGATTTGTTAGGGAATTTTATTTTGACTCTAAAAAGCAGGGAATTAATTGTCAGTAAAAGTTTTTTACAAAAATCTAGAAAATTCCTACATTATGCCTCAAAAGTAACTTGTCTTAGAATTAACAGTAGGTAATCAGTTGTTCTATTAATTGATATTTGTTTGCTCAAAAAATCTAATATTTGATATTATAAATAAAAAAAAATATTAGTGTTCTGATGAAAAATTACATGGTGTAGATAAAATATGATCTTTATTTTCAATGAAATTTTATTGCTATAACTGAAAATAAGTATTATTTTTAAAGTAATATAATAAGTAATTTGAAATTCGATTGCATGTAACATGTTAAAACGAATTTTGAAAGGGTTAAATTGATGCAGAGTTATTGTCATTGTTTATACATTAATATTTTACAGTCTAAAAATGTCAGACTTTATTAAAGGTGTATAAATTGACTTTAACATCGGGATATTGAGTTTAAATGTCAGTTGGTAAATAAATCACTTGTAACTGTTTAAATTATCAAGTTCTTGTATTGTGGACTATTTTTCGATAAAAAATCTATTATCTCTGTTAATGATGAAACTGATGCTAAATAATAAAACAATTTTTTATTCTTTCAAATAACCCCCTAAGAATTATTTCGAACTGAGTTATCCCATGCTTTTAAGTTAAGGGGCTAATTATTTAGTTCTGATGTATCTATTCATTTGCATCTCATCTTTTCTATTATTAATTGAATGTTAATATATGTTTTACATTATAGGTATATTGTCACTGATTCTATTTTGTCTGCCGGCCTTTTTACTTCTGCTAATACTCTACTAGGGAACAATTTACGATTTTATACTTCCAATTATAAAGATGTAAGTGTTTTATTTTGCAAAATTTCCGATTTTTCTGCAATTATCTGTGTTTGAAAAAATATATAATGATGGGTTTGAAACAATGCATCTTAAAATTAAAAATTTATCAAGGAAGAATAACGTAAAACAAAAATATTACCTGATTGAAAATGTCATTCGCTTCAAAAATATACAAAAGGTAAATACAGTCGACATGTTTCAAGTGCTTCAACAATAGGCACCTATTTTAAATTCTTGCTAGCTGTGGATGTGAAAAAACAAAGGCAGATATGCCGATTGCCCTGGAATCGTCAAAATATTTTTTAAAAAACTTAGAACTAGAAATTAAAACGTGAAGATTTTCGGTTAATTTTGCCAACTTTTTAAAAAAAATGCCTCAACACGGCTTAGCTTTTAAAAAGTGACATATCACATAAGCCTTTTAATTACTTAGAAGAAGTGGTAAGTTGAAACTCTGTAAATCGAATTTACTAAATCAAGAATCATACATTAAAAGACTACCACTCTAAAGTTTTTATACGCTGTCCAGAGAAAGTTGACAACTCTACAAAAGTGATTTGAACTAAAAAAGGATTTAAAGTTGCTAAAAAAGTTGGGGAAATAAAGGTGAGAAACAAAAATTAAAAAAGCAAACACTGTAGTTCAAAGAGAAAAAAAGATAGAGGCCGCAGAGAGCAAATCAGGGACAAATGCATTTCCATGTGCTACGGAAAACGCATGCTTTACTTAACGAAACATAAATATTAAATCTACTTGGTATAATACAGGAGTGGCGAACCTTTATACACCAACGTGCCATTTTTTCTAAAAAAAATTTTTAATGAAACCGCAGACGTGCCGTCAAATAATTTTCACTTCATGATTATTGGGAAAATAATAATACTAAATAATATCAACTCAAAACTCTTCATTTACATTGAAAAGAAAATACGTTTTGCAATGTCTCAGTTATACGCCTAATTCAACTTAAAGTAGCATCAGTGGGACTTCTGTTTTTGCTGATTAAATTACAAATAACTTATATTAGGTTGTAAGATATTAGTTTAAGCAGGACTGTTGATTTTTTTGCTAGTTATTTATTGTTAGCTTGTCTTTTATGGTTATTAATTGTTCTTTTAGCATTAATTGTTAAATTTTTTATTAATAATTGTTTATTATTTTGTTTTTTTTTTGTGAATTTTAATTTAATTGTTACATATGCTTCATAGTGTGTGACATTTGTGTAATAACAATTCATAGTGCAATAACAATTGTGATCGGTGGCGTGCCCAAAATATTGTGTCGCGTGCCATAAATGGCACGCGTGCCATTGGTTCGCCATCCCTGGTATAATATAATAAAAACAATATACAGTTTTCTTCTTACTATCGTAATATACTATTTTGTTATGAATTTTTATTTTTTTATTTTTCATATATCTATAAAAGGTAATGAAAAACAATTTAACTAAGGTTTAAATGAGTAACATTTTATAACTGTGGAATAAAATGATGTAATTCATTTGCATTAAAATAATTATAATAATATTGATGGAGAATTATTCTTTGATGCATTATTCATCAGTCATGATAAATAACACTTATACATACACTTTACACTTATACGTTACATGCACTTATTTCATTGAAAACTACTGATTAATTAGATTGTCCTGTAATGTATTAATTACATTAGGTGTAACCTTTAAAAATAAACTGGATAATCATATAATTTATGTGTATATACTTATATTTTTAAGCATTTATAAAAACTAGGCTTTTTTTTTTTTTTTTTTAATTTTTCAGGTATCTGATTATTTGTTATCTTGTTATAAATTTGGAACATTCACTAAAGTAAGTTTTTCATCATAAATAAAATTATCTTGTTTTTTATTATTTATTTATAATTATAGCAATGTAGTTTATTGTATGTACTAATTAGTTATTGTGTATCCAAATTTGGATGTTATGTTTTTTGAAAATCGAAAATTAGTTCATAAAAAATTTATGAGTCTAAATATTATTATGCAATAGTAAGATAAAAACATGAAGTATCTGCATTCACAATCAAAAAGTATCTGCAAGCTCATAATATTTTTTGATAATATAATTTATTAACTATACAAAAACAGTTAACTATTTGAAATTTTTATTTATTCTTGACAAAAAATATCTATATATACATGCACATTAACTTTAAGAATATTGGAGAAAGATTAATATTAATCGTGATATATAAATAGGAAATATAAGAACTGCATTCATATAAAGTAATTGTCATATCAACCGGATCCTCAGTCAACCGGAAAGTAATTATCATATCAACCGTATCCGCGCACGTGGAAAGTCATGAAATTCGTTATTAGGCAAAATTTGTCATGATTTTAACTATTTTTTTTAAAAAAAAATCATGGAAAGTCATGGATTTAAGTCGACAGAAAATCTAATTTTCAAAATGGATTTTATCCCCCCCCCCAATTGTTTGAATGTGTGACGAAATTCCCATTCACAGTCATGTTTTATTAAAATATAAAATGTTTTTATCATGTTCTTTAAAAATTATGGTGTTCTTTTTTAAAATGAAAGAAAAGGCATTCCGAGAGTGAATTATCTTTTAAACTTCTGTGATTTCAGAAATTTTATCATTACTCTTTTTTTTTAAATTTAAAATCTATAATTATGAAGATGCAGAGTATAACAGTTTTGGTTATACCTATCATTTCAGTGAATGTTATTAAATTTATTGTTGTGTTTTTGTCGGAGAAAATAGTAACTTTGTTAAGTCATGAAAAATTCTTGGAATTAGTCATGAAAAATCATGAATTTGAGAATCTAAAATGTAGCAGATACCCTGTATCAAGTGATATTATTAATTTCGTTCCGAACAAAATTTCATTAAAAGATTTCCTACTGTAACCACAATTGTTTATTTTAGTTGTAAAGTGATAATCGAGTTGATTTGTAAAAACTAGCTGATTGAATGCTTGACCGCTAACTGGGGGATCTCTAATCTTTGGGCTAAAGTGACAGTTATATCTTTTATGTATCCGCATATGGCATGCACGGGTGTGGCTACATTATCTAACTATGAGTATACATAAATTAAATTTCTTTTCTTTGATATAAATATTTTGTTATTCTAAAGATAAAGTTTTTTTTTTTATTAGTTTATAATTTTTTTAAGACTCAACAAATCTTAAGAAACAAATTGGATGCTAAATTGAAATATAGGCAATTAGTTTGAGTTTATTAAAATCAGAATCCCTTTTGGTTTTTGTTGCGTAATCATTGCCCCCAGAGATTCTTCTTTCACTTGAAATTGTATAATTAATGATATATTGATTTTTCTTGTTGTTTACATTTAGAAAATACTTGTTAAGATTTTCGTTAAAAAAGTGGTGTTTAATTTTCAAAAGTTATGCTTCAAATCAAGATTTTCTTAAGTTATGTTTTTAGAAAGGGTGACAACATAATAATGTATAAATGTATTGTAAGAAATCTGTTTATTATTCTTTTTGTCATAGTTTACAACCATAATAAATTAAAATTTATATTGGCTTTATGAGAATCCTATAAAATAATTTTGTTTATCTTTTCTTAGATACCTGAGTTTATCAAGTTCAGGGAAAAGATGAATAACTCTTTACATTATGCCTTAGTAATTGCTGAAAAGAAAATTTTAGATCTTCTTCTAGAAACAAAAAAGTAATATTTTTTAGTATAATTCATAGTGTTGCTGTGAGGAATGAGTACAAAGTTCTTGGGTTACCCAGAACTTTTTTTCCTATCGAGTTGTAAAGCAGAGGTGGCTGTTGCCTTTCTGTTGCATTTCTTAATTTTTGTAAATGCTCAGAATTTGTATGCCTCTCATTATTAGCTTTTGTTGCTACTCAGGCTAATCCCAAAGTATTATTAAAGAAGGTGATGCACTAAGTAGACTAAAGTAGCATGAATCCTTCTTTTCCTTGTTTCTGTCATATATGATAGATTATAAAAATAAAATTTGGAGACAACAAATAATCACTTCTACTTTTTCATATTCTAAGTATTTCATGTTTTCTGCTGCTACTGATAATTCTGGTTATTTTTAAAGTATTGCTTTTTTTTGTTCTCTCTGTTGCTTCACAGGTTAATAAAAATGAAATTTTTATAATTAATATTTTATGTAATAATAATTTCTCATGAAATTAAAATTGCATTTCAGTGCTTCATCATTAACAAACTCTAAAAAAGCGAGAGTTAAAAAAGCTACTATAGTGAAACTTTTTCAGAGCAGACAACTCACATAACGGAAATTTTCAAAATCCCAAACAGTCTCATGACTATGCACTTGCTAAAGAAGTATTTCATCATGATGGTGTTTGATTATAGTTGATTGCATTATTTTGTGTTTTTATTGTCTGAGATAAATTGATCCATGATTGGGGTTGATGAGTGTATGATGTTAAGGGTGCTAGATACTTAGATATACATTACAGTACTTTACAGGTTGTTAATACAGGATTCTTTGTAGTATATGTTACTCCTCAGTGATGTATTTCATAATACATAGCTGCCAACTCTACTGGATTTTTCCAGTTTCTCCTGGTCTAATGGTTTAATTAAAAGTCTTCTGGTTTTTGTACATTTTAGAAAATTCTCTAAAATTGAGTAAGTTTCCTTAAAAAATCCCAATTGAAATAGAATTTTCATACTGATTATTGCTTGCTTGCTTGAATATTTAAGTAAGTATTACTGAAACGAACCTCATTTATAGAAATCAGTTCAAAACTTTTTTTGTTATAAGATGTTCACTTTATTTTTATTCTGAACTTCCTTTTTAAATTAATTAAAAATAATCTATGTGATGTACTATGTAATATTTTTGATGACTTAAATGCCTTTAAATATTCAAAATTATGAGTATATATAATATATAACATTTCAAGTATGTTTAATGTCAATCATAACTGAAAAATATCCCAATTTTTCTATTTTTATGACTATAAAAATCCCTAATATTCCCTATGTGTTAGATATTTAGTACATTATATAACAGTTATCATGAAATTTATAGTATTTTGTAAAATATACTGGATTTTTTCCTATCCACGTGGGCTGCTATGATAACATGAACTGAATTCGAAACAGTTTTTTTGTAACTCATTCTTGGAATTTTCACCGCAAGTTGAAATATGATTGTTTTATTAGACTTATGATATGATCTATCATGTCAATTACATTAAACTCTGAATTTTAATTTTATCATGATTAAAATTTAAGTATCTATAATTCCTTTGAGTTTTTATCCATATGATTTTATTTTCAGTATTGATGTTTTTCAGTGAATATTATTAGGTATCTCAATTTTCTTGGTCCCTGAGTTGTTTGTTTTACTAAGTTTTATTATAAATATTGTCGTTTTATGGTTAATTTCTGTCTTGGTGGAGAAACAAGTTTAACTTGGTTAATCTTAAGTAAAAGAAAAATGAACACACGGGTCAATGAAATTTATGAATAATGAAAATCTTAAAATTTCACGCATGTTACTTATTTGCTAAAATATTATTTGGCACATAAGTAATATGTTTGAATTATTATATATTATGTTATTTTTTTCTTCTATTTCCTTATAAGATATTTTATATATTTTAGTCTGCAAGACTTGGAAAGAGTTGTAAGTGCCATGGATGTTGATCCTGAAAAAGGTAAATAAAAATGTTACTCATACATAATATTGCATAATGATGTAATGAATGTGTATTATAATTTCTCAATTAAGAAAAATTTCTAGTTTTCTTTTTCAACAAAAATGTGTTTGTAATCTCTTAAGAAAAATAATAAATAAAAAAAATTATTTTCATAACTGCCAAGTAATAAGTTAGATTTTTTTCTAAGTTCGTAGTTAATTATTTTTTAACTGTATATTGAGCAAGAAAATCTGTTGAGCAAAAAATATGTTCTAAAAACAAATTACACTGTGAAGAATTTTTTTTTTTTTAACCCAATGAAAAATGAAATTTGTTGTTTAATGTTAACTTTCATGTTTTACTTTAATGTTTTTTCTTCTCTACTGATTATAATTGGCAAACATTGAACCAAGTATAAAAGTTGCTTAAAATAAATGAAGTATAATTTTTTTTAAAATTTTTTGAAAATAATATTATTACTCAAATTATTTCAAGCTTATAATTTAAAACATATGATAAAAACTTTATCTTTATGTGAATGCTATTCCGGCAAAATTTTCATGTGCAAACTATTCTTGATCTGTTTATTAATTCATGATGGTTTCTTTCAACTAAATTTCTAACAACTTTTTCTAATTCTTCCTATTATATATTGGAATACACCTACTATTTTATTACTGCTCAGTATTTAGTCTATTGTACAGAATTGGTGTTTTTGATCAAGTATAAAATATCTAATAATATGAAGCATTTGAGAATTCCTGAAGTAATCTAAAAGTTTAAGTACCAATTTCCAAATATAATTTTTTTTTCTTGGCATCTTTTATAGCAATTTAAATATTTCATCTAATTAACTCCTCCATGGTTTTGCTCTTAATACATCATTCTGTTACAAACCACCAGGTTTTCTATAAATATATTTAGCTTAGACCCCTTAAGAAGTTTGTAGTTGATGAGCTGAAGAATAAAACTCTTATCATTCAAAAATCAACAATTCTATCAATGATATACGTATGTATGTATATTATGATTATATATAATGGATAAAATAATTAGTATCATAATAGATAAATAATCTACAATTAATATTTGGCCAAAATTAGTTTCTGATTGTGGATTACATTATTAATTAAGCTCATAATTCTAGTTATAATGTTTCAATGCTCTAAATATTCTAACATCATTTTTAACTTCGTTCTTTATTATTTATACCTTTATGTATCATATGTATATCACTTGAATATAATTTTTCTACAGTTAAGAAAATGTCTTATTTTTGCTCAAAAACAATAGTTATTCAACTAATTATGTTTTAATGAAGTTAAAACTTAAGATTAGTTAAAAACTATTACCATTAGAGAAATATTTGATTTTGTATGGTGAAAAGAAAATATTTTAGTCAATTGAATTAACAATTTATGGACTAGTCTTTCTTTATCTCTGATAGATCTTTTCTTTATTTCGAATTATTCCCCACGCCTAATATCTTTGGATGTCCAGTCCAGAAGTCATGGGTGCGATGCCACACGCTTGAGTTTCCGCTTGTGTTGAAAGAGAGAAGTTTTTTCTCCTTATCTTTTTATCCTAACATCTGTATTTCTCATTTCTTTCCTCTAGAATAGTGTCACGATGAGATTTGTATTCACCTGTTTCAAATATCATACAGTGTGGTTTGAATTTACGCAATTTAAAAATTCCACCTTGTGATTTGTATTCACCATTAAAAATTCTTATATTGAGATTCATATTTTCACAATTTAAAAATCACACATTGAGATTTGTATCCACGCTATTTAAAAATGAGCAAAGTTAGCTGAGCTGACTAAGACTGAAAATAATTTAATTCGAAAAGAAAATAGTGGCATTGTTTGCTTAGAGATGATAATGAAAGATTTAATCTAGCTGTTTCAAAAAGTGGAGGGATATTAAAGTTGCTCAAGTGATAGTTGATGCTACAAATAAAAGTGTATTTAGTGCCTCCAAAAAACTATTCATGATATAGTTTAAATAAAAAAATATTATTTAACCATGTGTCCATAGTAAAATTTTATTTGTGAAGTTAATAAATGTAATTCGAGTGATAGTTTATCATATTTTAATTATATTTTTTCTAAGCTAATGTTAGAAGTTAATTTCATTTTTATTTTTCAAGTTTGAGAGTACTGATATGTTGTGCATTATGTAAATATTGTATATATCTTAAGTTTTTAATTTTTATTGTTTAAATTTGTTTCTAAGTATGTTGTAAATATAATTTTATATACATGCAGAAAGAGTAAATTACCTTGAATAAGTGTCCTCAAAATTGTTCTGAAATTTTATTTTTCGGACACCCAACCCTGATGTATTTTTACAAAATACAAGAGGTTAGGTGTTTGTGAATACATTTTCAGAATATTCATTTTCTGAAAATGTTTATTTATTTTTATTATCATAATTAAGAAAAAAGAATAAATATTGTGGTTTAAAATATTTTTGGTTTTTGCCTAGCTGAATTGTTTTGGTAACTTAGAAAAAGGTGGCATTGATGCCTAACTGTCAGATTCTCATTTCTAACCTCTACTCTCATATCCAGCATTTTATATGCAATCTTTCTCATTTGTTTTCCTGAAAAATCTTAACCAGATTTTTTTTCTTCTTCCCATAAGCCTATAATTTTCCATTTATTTTAGTTTATCGGAATTTCTGTTGAGACACTTTTGCTCATTTAGTACAAACTAGCATGGTCTTAACTATCACATAACATTCTTTACTATTTTTCCCTCCAAAAAAGTTGTAAATTAGCTATTTATATTTTAGATTTTAGTATGTAATTACTAATAAACTTTTTAACTATTTGCTTGTTCTTATTGCTATTTTTACTCAAAAATAGTTAAATTGTCTTGTTTTTTTTTTTTCTCTCTCTAGATCATAGGCCTACGAAGGAGCTTGTAGATACACGTGACATATCAATTTATAATCTAAATACTCTAAGAGAAAGGTAATTTTATACTTACTTTTAAAATTACAATTTTCTTTGAGGAGTATTAAAATGTGTATTTAAATACTTAAGACATTCGTTTTAATAATTTCATGTTATTTCTTCATGAAGCTTGAAATTTTTTATTTTTTTCAATCTGCATTTATGTGTGCATTGAATATGTTCCCCAATATTTATTCTGTTCGACAATATGATTGGTTATTTTCAGGAAAATGGAATGCAGTAACTTATTTTCTTAATTTTTAATCCCATGTATGTACAGGGTGTATGAAAATTTTGGAAACTCTTATATATCTCAAGATATGTAAATCAAAACGAAAAAGTGAGATTTGAGGAATCCAAATGATATCTTCCACTTCTCTTCAGAGGGATAAGGATGGAAGATCGAGTATGGCATCATTGGATAGCTTTAAAAAAAAATTAAATATTGCATGTCTTTTTTTCCCCCCACGATTTTGATTTGATTTACATTTCACGACATAATTGACAGTTTCCAAACTTTTTATGTGTGTATGCACTAATTGAGTAAAGAAAAAATTTCATCTTAGTGCATACAGATTTGCATAACTGAAAATATGTCAACGCTTTAGTATTTAGTTAAGGAACTAGTGTGGATGCATATATGTGATCAAAAAGTATAGATATTTTTTAAAATATTGTATTATGAGTTTCTTTTCTTCTTACTTAGAAAAATACTAGAAGAACAAACTGAGAAATCTCACCAAGAAAGGGTTTGTATAGTTATTGTTCTTTTTAAGCTTTAAAAAAAAATTTTTTTTTGTTCTACTTGAAAATAATATTTTTTATTTTATTTTGCAGATGTGGTGGTTAAATATTAGAAACTTTACTCTCCAAATTGTAGCTGCAGCATATTATTTAAATAAGCCGAATATTGTAAATAATAATATAGAGAATAATATTTCAAATGGTGTGAAACATCACATGGCCGATACATTAAATAAATTGATTTGTTCATTAAAAAGTAGTGTGGACTCTGTTAACAAAGATGACTTGTTAACATCTGTTGTAAGTTTTTAAATAAGTATACATTTTTTATAATGATCCTTTTGCTTAGTTTTTTTTTTTACTAACTTGAATGTTTGTTTTTTTTAATCTTAGTTTCCAGTTTCTTGCCTGGGTCCTTCCAGAATTATGAAATATTTAAATGGCCCTCATATAGATATATTTTTATCATCAGCTAAGCTAGTTCATTACATTCATAGTTTAACAGAAGGTTATTCAACAGGTAATTTTGATGTTTTCATTAAGACTGTAAAATTCTTCATTAAAATTGCTACTAAACTGTATAAAGTTATTATTCAGCAATATGAATTTAATCTTTATGATTTGTGTATATGCTTTATTAATTTATTGAAAATCTATATTCAGTATTAACAATTACTTATTGATGGTTATTGCCTGATAACTAATATTTTGAGAATTTATTACTAATCCATAAATTTGATTCATCACTAATTTATAAAATTTAGGCTGGGAAGGCCAGAATTTAATAAAATTCTTGCTTTTGAATTTTTACCTTTTGATTGTAGTACGGTTGACCCTTGATATAACAACCCCTGTGGTCTAAATGAAATTGGGTGTTAAAAAGTGGTCGCTATTTTATGAGTACACAAAACTATATTAAATATTTGTTTTTACCTTGTTGCCTTGTTGGTTTTACTGGACTTATTTTGATAAAACACATTATTCTTATATCAACTTTCTTCAAGATTTTTAACTTCTATTCTTAGCAGGTGGCATTTCCTTGGTTACGAGCAGTCATTTTTGCTAAGTAACATTTATGTCTAAAATTGCGAAATTTAGGCCTAGCAAAAAGAGGAATGTGAATGCAACCTACTTTAACTCCAAAATAAATCACCTGTTACAACACTTCCCCGTAAGAGTGAATACAGCTTTCAAACATTTCATAAGTTTGACTTAATTAAACCTTCTAATTCTATATATTGAAACTAGTGTTTCAGAATCCTTTTGATCGCTTATTGCAACAACACTTCCCCATAAGTGTGAATGCAGCTTTCAAACATTTCATGAGATTGACTTAATTAAGCCTTCTAATTCTATATAATGAAAATTAGTGTTTCAGAATCCTTTTGATCGCTTATTGCAACAACACTTCCCCATAAAGAGTAGATGCAGCTTTCAAACATTTCATAAGATTGACTTAATTAAGCCTTCTAATTCTATGTAATGAAAATTAGTGTTTCGGAATCCTTTTGATCACATACTGCACTTAGTATAAGAGTAGGAGGTTACTCTTTCATTTTTCCTAGAGAATTCAAGATGGTTCATTATAAATGGATAACATCATGAGGAATAGTTGTTTAGACCCTTTCCTCTAGTCTTTTGTTATTCATCTGATTCATTGTGAATCGTAGCATTTTTGTATTTGAAGTTAAACGTTATTACACTCAATTGTATTCATTCGAACATCAAACCTCAATTTTTGTATTTTGCCTAATTTATGAGTTACATATTGTGATTTGTTCGCGTGGTTTAAAAATTGTACTTTGTGATTCACATTCATGATTTAAGAATCCAATGTTGTGATTTGTATTTATGCATTTTTAAAATCAATTTTGCGATTTCCATTCTCTTATTTTTAAAATCCAGTGACACGATTCGTATTCACACCAATTTAAAATCTAATTTCCCGAATCGTGTTCTTGCATTTTCAAAATTCAATATTGCGATTAATATTTACGTGTTTTAAAAATACAATTTCACAATTCATATTCACAAAATTTTAAAATCCAATGTCCCGATTATTTATATTCACACGATTTTAAAAATCCAACTTCGAGATTTTTGTAACAACTAAGATTTTTCTTAAATAAGTTACTTCATTGGTAGGTTATTTAATTATAAATCTTATTTTTAATAAATTGGTAAATACGAAATATTTATGATATATAGATTGTTGAAAATTTTTTGCACAAAGAATTTTCAGTTTTTTTTATCTTGAGTCACAGTTACCGCCCGATTAAAAAGAATATATACATATATATGGAAAAAGCTATATCATTGTTTTGGAATGCATTTATATACTATAGTAATTGCTCCATAATCTACACTTATACTATTGTGTAACAAGGACGTCCTTACTATAGTTAGTTATCTTTTTTAAGCTCTTAAAAAAATTAAAAAAAAACTACTTAAAAATCCCTTTATTGTAAAGCCCTTGTCGACATTAAAAAACATGATTATATCATGTATTTTTATATCATATATTTAGTTCAATTAATACTTAAAATAGCTGGATAAATTTCTAATTTTAATAAATCTTTTTACAGATACTTCTGAAAGTGTAAAAGACCTAAGTATAATCAATGAAATTAGGAATAATTATCAAAGTAAGTATATCGTCTTCAAATTGCTCTTTCAGTTTCTTAAGGCTGTTTTTCGCTAACATCATTCCAAGGCTGTATTGCCCAGGCATCTAAAATTTTGTGAAAAATTAAGTAATATTCATTGATTTTAATTATTTTCATATTGTTGGGAAAATCTACCTGCAGTAATTTTTTGCAGAAAGGCTATGTGTTATATTTGTCATGTTTTCAATTTTAGTCTCATTTTTTGCATTTAACTGCTATTAAATGAAAGCATTTTAAAAATTATAAAAAATTAACAATGTAAGAATGGCGTTTTACAACTGAAAACTAACTCAAAAACTTTCAAGCATATAAAACATTATCTTAAGATCGCATTTACAACTTTAGAATCACTGGAATTATGATGTTAAGAAGTTGAAACTGCAAACTGGCTGCTGTTGAATGGAGGGGGATAGAAGTAAAAGACTGCAATGATTATCTGTTGCTAATGATCACATCAATAAGAAAGCAAGAATCCCCCCCCCCTCCTTTTCTCTCTTGCATACCCATCTACTACCGTAAGCAAATCTGTCACATGATATACAGTAGAGTGCCGATTATCCGAACTAAATCCGAATTTGCTTTTTTTCTTCTCTTTTTTAAGTTTAGAATTTTTTTTAACTTATCGACAATTTTTCTAAATTTAGAGGAATAGATAATATCTACTACATCGGAAGACCATATTTAATTTACAACCTTTTTCAGCAGTTTTCTTCTGGGAGCCATACATACATGTATTGTTATACAGTTAAACCTACATACCCCTTCAACTGAAAATTATCATCAAAGAATGCGAGCTTCATTTTGACAATTTACAATTGTTGGAAAGCGGAATGTGTTTATGAATAGATAAGTGCCGAAATTCTACAATTGGTGGATGGGTAGTTGTCACTCATGGTTAATGATTAGTGATTACAGTGCTTGGAATCTTAAATCTTGGAATAAAATTCTTATCAGAAAAACAAACGAAACTGCAGTTTGTGAATCGGTAGATCTTTCGGGTGAAAATATGCCATGTTATACAGCAGAAGAAATAGAAGACTGGTGTCAAGACACTGAAAACGACTCAGGATTTCAAATTTTAAATTATCATGAAATTGTTTCTGAAATTTTGAATGAAAATCGGGACTCCTCAGATTAAGAGGAAGAAGTACATGATCAAGTTCAAGATCGTGGACCTTCTCATAAGAAGCATGCAATTCATTAGATATTGCAATGAATTGCCTAGAACGTCAAAATGATGTTGATCCAATTACAGTGCTTGGAATCCTGAATCTTGGAATAAAATTCTTAATTAATTCTTATTCTTAATCCAATTCAGTTGATTTATTTAAAAAGAATAAGGGATATGGCTGCACAAAAAAGAGCATGTTCTTTGAAACAAAAGTCTTTGCTGGATATCTTTTGCACTGGAAAATAAAGAAAAATGTGGTAAAATCAGTAATTTACAAAAAAAATTATAAAAAAGCCGAAATATGATAAAAAAAAAGGATTCAAATTGGAAAAAAAAGTTTTAAAAAATATATTTAAAATTGAAGAAAAAAAAGTCTTAAACTCGCCAGAGCTATTTTAGATAGTACTGCCAGTCCTGAGCCTAGAAAAAGTGTGAGGGAAGTTGGTGCATAAATAATAATCATTTAAACTAGGTTTTAAACAACTTTCCAATTATCCAAACATTTCATTATCCAAACCACGTTCGGTCCCGAGCAGCTCGGATAATCGGCACTCTACTGTATATTGCTTTTTTATTTTTTGCTTCACGCAATTGTTTTAACCCGGAAAACATTTTTTACGATTCCCAGGAATCTAATTATTCTCCTGTGATAAATTGGAATTTGTTGCTCTTTTGCAAGTGACATCAAATAACTTCAATCAAGAACTTGACTTACCTCGCCTTATTTAAATAAAAAAAAATACTGGTTAAAAATATGAAAAAGAATACAATTCTCTGAACAAATTGATATAGATCCGTTAATTTCGAACATTTTGTAAATACAGTGGAGCATCGTTTATACGACGCCGAAGGGACCACCGAAAAACGTCGTATAAACGATACCGTCGTATAATCGATTTTTACTTCTAAAACTGAAACTAACTCTGTTTTCAGTTAATTTTAATGTTTAGCGTGTTGATTTGCATAAATTTCTAAATTAGACAAAGCAAAACAAACAAATAACCAAAGAAGAAAAATTGCAGTGAGCAATTTGAATGTATGTTACTTTTAATTATATTTTCTTGCTATTAGTCTCTACAATGCAATGCTTTGAATAGCGAGTTGAACTTACTGCTTTCTATGTTGAAATTTTAAATTCTAATCACGGCCAAATCTAATGGCTGAAGCGCACTTGTGCAATTTGCAGGAAAAAAGAGAGTTTTTACATTTCCCAAAATAATTAGTATCGATGGGTGCACTGGACATTGGTCGATGAATAGCAAAATTTTTATTTTTTCCCTCTTCATAACATTGTCAAGTTTTTTCAGTCATCTAGTAAAAATTACGGTCGGCATCCAAGCATTCTTGTTGGCACCCTTTTCTGTATCACTCATGTTGGCAAATTCCGCCCTTTTTTAAAATACACAAGAAAAAATAAAAAATTAAGTAAACGTGAACAAAATCTAAAAAGCGACGTATAACCGATTCTGTGCGTCGTATAAACGATATATTTTTACATTAAAATGAATAGGAATGATTTGGGACCACACTAAAACGTCGTATAAATGTAAACGTCGTATAAGTGATCGTCGTATAAACGATGCTCCACTGTATATATTTTTGATCAAAGCGACATTGATTGTCCTTTCTATTTTTGCATCAATCTTTGGAGCTTACAGTGCTTACTCTTTTTTGATACATAAATTATTTATTATTGTAAGTTTCTTTATCTACCTTGAGCTTGGCACTGATTTCTTGGCACTTTTGTGTCATTAAGCTCCATTTTTTATACAATCTGATATTGTTCTGTTTCCAAAAAATTACACTAGAATTCCAGTTATTTAAATTACTCAGTGCCAGGACCAATCTAAATAGAAATCTTAATACTATATGAAAAACTAATATATCATGGCATGAAAATTTTCATAAATTATTAAATTACTAAATAGCTTTGTATAATGTTTTTTTCTTCTGAAGCCTTAACTTTTTTAAATTAAATTTAGCCTTGTAATATTAGCTATCCATTACATGAATAATCATTTTTGGGGGGATTAGTATTCCATAATGTTATTTGTAGTTTTGCTATAGTAAGTATAATAAAAATGTCGCTATTTTTAATGTTGTGATCCTAATAAACATGTTGTGATAACAATGTTGTGATCTTGTAATCATAAAACTTTAGTTATGAAGATGAGATCTTTTCCAAATATTGAAATATGTAGATAATTAGGTAAAAAATTCATTTGTGCTAAAAAGTTATTGCTTTAAAAAAAAATTTTATTTAATGGGTAAATTCTGTAACACTATGCATGTAAAGCGTACTAAATCGTTTCAACCATTGCTGGACGTAGAACTAGAAGAGTTCAATTTGTTTAAATGCCAGAGTGTAATTATTCCTCTTTTTGTTTTTGTAAAATAATAATTTATTGCTAAATAAATTGCTTTCATTTTCTAATGGCAGTTTTTATCTAGCAACTGTGTCAAATGTATTTTTTATTATAACTTTTTTCATTTCAATAAAAGTTTATACAAAATGCATTGAAAAGATAAAAATATGATAAAATTTTGGTTAATCGATCAGAATTGAGTCCTTATGCTCCTGATAATGATGAATCAAATGTTATTATTGGTTTTTATTTTAATTTGTACTGTTAATTTTTCTGTTACGGAATTTTTTAAAGATTGATAAAAGAATTATAATCATATTAGGAATTATGTCATGTGGAAACTTGATCTGAATTGCTTTTAATGTTGGCAATCAGGTAAATGTTTACAACACTTGCAAGTTTAAGTGATTTTTTTTGTGTCACAGGACTCCTTCAGGCTTAGTTCATTACTCTATTTGATTTTGTCACATTGTAGCTTTGGCCCAGTTAGCCAAATCTGGTTCTTCTGCTGTTGAACCTGACATTTAATACAATCCTACGAAATTCTGTAGTCACATATGACTTATATATTTTTTTTCCTTCTAATTGATCTAATCAACTAGTGTTGTTGTATTAGTGAATAAGTAGTAACCCACAGTTACTAGTTGTTTGACATCACTGTATTGAATATGAAAAAGTTCTTTTTTCGCAATTTTCCTATTATATTTTTTTTACTAAATAATGTTCTTAATGCAGAAAGGTACTAATAATTGGAATTTTTCTTCTAGTGTTATTCGAAAGAATACGGGATGTAAGTCCAGACAAAGATTCTCTAAATCCTACTCAAGTCAAAGTTTTCTTCGAAGATACTGCTAATGCTGTTGAGGTAAATAATTTTTGTACACAAAAAATTTTTGTCTCTAAAGTCTTTTTTTTTTATTTATTGATTTTTAGTGTATGTAATCATTTGTCAAATATTTGCTCTCTGTAGATACCTACTACAAGGTGTGTAGCGTTTTTAAAAAGTGCTTAATGGTGCTTTTTTTATTTGGGGTTTGTAAAAAGTGCTTACTTTTCTATCTCTTAAAAAAAAAATTTTTTTCTTTGCCGTGTCGATTGTCGACTAAATTTTAAAAAAAGCATGTTTTTTTACAATTTTCTCTGCAATATTAGTCAGAAACTAGTTATTTTATCATGATTGTGTAAAGTTTTTGAATTTTATTGATTTTATGTTTATAAATTAATAACTTTAAATGATGGAGAAAAAAATTTATTCCTGCTCAGATCCTAATTATGATTTTTTTCCCCTTGGGAAGTGATTAAAAATATTTTTTGTTGGAAAATGTTTTTGGATGTTTTTCTTTACTATGTAATATATTCATATTACATAGGCACTACATTTGTGAGGAGACTAGTTAGTTGTTATACCAAATCTGGTACAAAAAATTGCTGCAAGTTAGAAAATTATTTAATACAAAAGTTAAAAGTTATTATTTCATACAGTTTACTCAACATATTTTAATAATTTCTATGAATGTTACATAAGTTTAATATTGATTTTTAATCTTTCATCAGCTGAAAATATTCATATATATATATATATATATATATNTATATATATATATTGTTATTTATTTTAATATGTTTTTTGGTTTATAAACTAGAAACATTTTAACTTTTTTATTTATTTTTTTGCCCTAATTAGACTGACATAAATAAAAATTTATCCTAACTCTGAAAAAAGAAAACTATTTCCATTTTAAAATGTATGCAGGTATGATATTTATCTTAAATAATTTGCATTTAATAAAGTTCATTAGTTTGTTCCGTGGTAAAGTTAAAAAAAAATATTTTTTAGTTTTTGTGAAATCCTTTCTTAAGATTTGCTATGTATAATTTTTAATGTAGCTCACAGTATTTTATCATTTTACACTGTTGCAGTATCACAATTGAATGAAATCAAGCATGTTCATCTCACATTTTTATCAAATATTAGATACTTTTAGCAAAAAAAAATTTTTTTCATTTACCTATTCTTACTTTCATGAATATTATTTATTACTTTTTACTTACTGATTACTTCTTAATGAATTTTTTATTTTATTTTTGCAGACTTTAAGCTTAAGTCTATTATTAGTTAGTGTTTGTTTTGCATTATTGAAGCCTGCTCGAAATTCTCTAATGCGTAAAGGAAAAAAGAGAAAAGACAATGTTCCACAAATAACAGTAAGTTGTGCATTTCTTAATGACTTATTAACTGAATATCTGTATAATTTTTTGCAATCTTACACATAGCTGCCAACTTATGAGCTTTTTAAGAGATTCTCCTTGTGGTAATGAAATAATATAGGAATTTATTATTATAAGTAGAGATTCATTTAATTTCTTCACTATTCAACAACCTCATTAATAGTTTTTTTCTGGTATTTTGTGTATTAGTTTAAATTGTTTTAATTTAAAAAAAAAAATTAAATGAGGAATATACTTGAAAAAACAAATTTTATTAAAACTTTAAAAATGTTAAAATCTTAATACAAGCATAGAGTTGGCAGCCAAGCTGACATCTTTTTTGCACAAACATTCACGAGGTGTCATAAGTGTAAAAATTCTCTTTTTCACAATTTGATTTTTTTTTTTATTGTGTCATAAGTGTACTTATATATTTACTTTTGCTGCTTTCTATTCCTAACAGCTCGAAACATTTCAACATGTAACTGATCTAATCAATGATATGGAAGATTTTGGAAATAATTTACATGATTTGCTCAATAGTCAATCTAGCTCTGATTTAGCATCACATTTAGGAATAATGTCAGATAGTTCAAAGTGTATAAAGGTAATAAAAATTATTTCTCATATAAGAAATATTTTTTCATTCAATTTTTTACTAATTTTTATTTTTTTATTGCTGTTTTCTTAATGTTAAAGCCAAATTACTTATTAATGTATATTAGTTTATTTTGTTAAATTTATTTGGTTTGTAAATGTTAAGATATTATCAGACTATGGCTCACAAATCCCACTAGGAGGCCCTTGTTTATAAATAAAAAGTAGAGCATTTGTTCAAATTTTTTATTTCTCCAATGAAATGTTCTATTAATAAATAATAATAAAAAAAAAGCTGAAGGAAATATGTAGTTCAAACTCAAGTGTCACTAAAATTTTTCCAATTAAACAGTACTTGCATGTGACATACTTTTCTTTTAATTTTAGAAACACTTATATTTAATTAGATAACAAAGACTTTTATTTTGCATTGCTCTGAGTATTTCATACTGGCATGTCAGAAAGTATTTTAAATTATGGGTTTTGGACAGTATAATTAGCCATCTTTTCAAAAGATTTAATTTTTTTTTTCTTCAGAAAAATACTACCATAAACCGGGGCGAGTCTACCCATTTTTTCAGTTTGTCAACTTTCAAGTGGTCAAACTTTTGTAAATATTAAAAAAAAGGCTTTTAATAGGTGTTTCAGAATCGCTATTTATCCCTCTTTAAAGCTGTGAAATCGATTTTAGAAAATATTAACAGTTACGCTGTTACTGTATATTTTAATAGAACTGCTGACAAATCTCTCGTATGGGGCGAGTCTACCCATTCTAATAAAATTAATGTTAACTTTGTAAATAATCAAATTTTACTATTAAATTGTTATTTTAGTTACTATATAGGATATTTATGAAGTAAAATTCATAACTTTATTATATATTCCATTTTTTTATTCATAAAATAACACAAATTGAGTATTTGATCGATTATCACATTTTGATCACAGTTTTGTTTTTATAATCATTAACATTATAAAATAACATTTTTTTCTGATTATTGTTGATAAAAATAAATTAAAATTAATATAAATTTACAATTAAATAATTAATAAATAATAATAATTAAAGATTATTAACAAAATCGAAATTCAAACATTGGGAATCATGAAAAATCCTTTTCCCATTCTTTTGGGAGGTAATAATAATTTATAAATAATAATTTATTTAACTTGCATTAAATAAAAAAAGTTAATTTTGTAATATAAAAATTGAAAAAATAGGTAAAATAAACATATTTTATATTTACATTTATATTTAACCTATAAATTTTCTTATTAATGATAAATTTATCAATGCAGAATTAAAATAATATACTCAAATTCATTTAAAATGACTTAATTTTAATATAAACAAAGTTCTAAATTATATTATTATGCTTTATTAAAACTAAATACGAATGGGTAGACTCGCCCCGCGAATTCTGGCTTTTTGTTTACAACAGCAAAACTTACATTCTTTTTGTTTTTTTTTATATAAAATTAATGTAATCTTAGTCTTAGATAAGTTTATCACTTAACCAAAGTGAAAATAGTAATAATAATAATATACTTACGGAGCACCAACTAAAAGTTTGCTGATTTTCAATACAAATCTCTCAAAAGACGTTTGAACAGGTCGGTTAAAAAGACACCAAATAAATAAAAACGGATCAAACTACTACAGCGCCATCTTCCTTAGAGTCTGAACTAAGTCCTCCGTCGGTAAAAAATTTTTTATTTGCAATTTAAAATAGTGAAAATTAAATAAAACTAAAATGGGTAGACTCGCCCCGGTTTACGGTATTTTTACATTTGCAGTCAGCTGTTACGTTTTGTATTGTTTAATCATATTGTATATGTTTTGGAAATTTTAACCATATAATTTATCTGAACTATATAATTGTAATATTATATAACCATAATATCATATAGTATATTTTTAATAATTTTTTTTATTTTATTTATCTGTAAACAATAAACAATACTGAAGAACAGTTTGTTGTTTGTATTTCAACTTTGAAAAAAGTGTGATTTATCAGCATATTGTTTCAAACCAATCAAATGTTAATGTGAAACTACCTTTTTCTTTACATACTTCATTAAATGCTTATCACTCTCAAATTATGAATAGTAATTTATTTTGAATTCTATTTAGGGCAGAGAGGATGTTGTGAAGGAGATAATTGCTAAAGTGGAAGAAAGTTACAACACTTCTCTAAAAGTACTAGATGACACGTTAATGGTTAAAGTGAGATTTATTCAATCATTAAAGTGGTGATGTTCATACTTCATATTTTACTGTATATTTCCTAATAAAAACTGTGAAGAGGATGAAAATAACTGAAGAGGAACATATAGTCATATTTTCGTCCATTGCCTCCTTCCAAAGGTGCATATTTTAAAAAAAACTGGACTACTTACCTCAACTGTTTTTATACTTTACTATCTAGGATCCCAAGCCTCGTGTGAAGAGGGGGAAAGTCAAAGGATGGAGTTATATTTTGTAAAATAAATTAAAAGAAAACTTATACAAGTGTTTTTAAATACATTCGTACTTCGACTAAATTAAGATACATCGACTAAATTATGATTGTTTTTTGTTATAAATTTTGTCTTTCTTTTCAGTTTCCAATTGCTTCTGATGCCAAAGATTATATTATGTGTAACACTGATTTGCAAACTGAATTTCATTTTTTTAATTTAAAAAAATTATACATTTTGAAAAAAAAAAAAGTTTCATTGTATAAATATTGTGTAATGTATTCGCTCGCCCCTGAATACCAAAGTTGCTACAATTTTATTATATATTCTGCTATAAGTCCAATAAATATATTTATATTTTTGTATTGAATTTAATACGAAAAAAGTATTAAAAATATTCTGTGTATTCTTGTGCCCAAAAGCAATCTTTTCATTTAGAAAAAAAATTAAATAAAATATTTCTTCTGAATTTGAAATAAATTTTATATTCTCTTCTTGCCTTTTTAATAAAAATGTGAATGCAATACAGGGTTGGAAATTGTTCCAAGACACAGGAAAAAAGTAAAAAATGAAATTTCTTAATGTAATAAGTATTAAATTTAAATAAATTAAAATATAATGTAGTATCAGAGAATTTAGTGTCTCACTTCCAATTTTTTTAAAAATATATATTTATTTATAATTTTTGTGTTATTTATTTTAGTTTTATTCAGGATATTAAAATCTATATATCATATTGACAAAAAAATTGGTTTGAATATTCATGCTAAAAAAATATTTGGTTATAAATGGTATTTGATAACATGACAATCAGGTCACTAGATCAAAAGTTATTAGAGTTCCTTTTTTTTTTTTTTGTGTGTGCAAAAAAAATAGTTATTAGCACTAAATGAATCTGAGTTTAAAACTTTTATTGATTATTCATTAATTTAAGGATTTAATACCGTTATTTCTAATTTTAATAATCAAAAGTGAATTGCTTTAGAGCATTATAAATTCGATGTAAATGGATGTTTTTATTTATCTACTAATAATGTAACTTTTAGACTTAAATTGTAGCCTTATATAAGTAAATATTATTTATTGATAAGTGAAACTAAATTGCTTTTACTTCATTGAATACTTGCTTTTTGAAAATCTTACAAATTTTCATTTGGTGCTAAATCTGATAGAATAGACTTAACTACTTGAACATTTCCTTAACTAAATGTTTAATACAAGTTATCTGATCTGTAAACAGTGTTGCAGTAACTGTCAAATATTTAGCAAATTAAAACAAAATATGGTAAAATTAAATTTTTATTGTAACCAATACAAATCTATCAGGTGCTGGGGAAGAAATTTTTTTTAGTCCAACCTGAAGAGTTCTAGAAGCAATTCTAAAACAGGTATAGCACTGTACACAACTTCAGCTTCAATTTTCTAGAATTCTGTATTGTTGACAATTGCAAATATTTTACTTAAATTAATAAGTTTTTGCTTTGTATATGTTTATATACATAGTTTTTAATCACCAATAATTTAGCAATATTTTTATAATAACTACCTAGCAATACAAGGGTGTATAGAAATTACATGTATGTACTACCAGATAAAATCTACCTGATTTGCTTTGAAGTTGTGACTAAGTAATTTATGCTATTTTAACTGTTCAGTAATATTTGCTTTCTATTAAGTTATTGTTTCTTTACTCTTGTGACCCTAATTGCCCCTTTCAATATAATTAACCTATTTTTATCTTTAGTATGCATCTTTTTATTTTACTTTGTTACAATCTCTGAAATACATTTATATACATATAATTGTTTTAAATATTGCGCCTGAAACATAGGATGTTATTGATTTAGGTTATTGTAATATTATTTGCAATGCATTTTATACTTGTATTTATTAAAATTATGAATTCTTTGTTTTCACTATATTTTTGTAAGTACAGTCAAACCCCGCTATAGTGAACACGGTTTATAGTGAACTCCCGGATATAGTGAACGAAATGTTCGGTCCCGTGCCTTGCTATACACGCATAATGTTATTTTTTGTGGATATAGTGAACCAAAAAAAGTGAGGAAGTTGGATATAGTGAACTTTTTTCTGTCTTCGGCTGATTTTTTTCTTCATTTTTTTTTGCAATAATTTTGAAATTTCTACTTCAAAATAAATACATATACCGATTTTGAAAACCATCTATAGAGGGGATTGTAGTGATAAGCATTTTTTCTTGTTTACTTCTTTTATCTCACTTTCCCATCCTTAAACAAACCAAGCAGATGTTTCCAGCTCAGGCAGACGATACATCTGTAAGGTGTCAATAGGATCAATATGCATTTTCTGTCAGATGGAATGAGTAATTATTCATTATTGGTTAGAGGGTTGGGCACTAATATGTCCTAAGGCCCTCATTTCAACTCCTTTTTGCTCTCAGTTTAGTTGAAAAAAAGCCTGCAAGCAAGTGTCTCAAATTTAACTATAGCGAGCAGTAAACGTCCTCCTGATGAAAAAATGGGCATAATCGGAAAAAGTGAAAATGGATGCGATCAAGCTGATATTTTCAGGAAATGTAAACTATCCAAATCTGCAGTTTGTAACATATAGAAAAATAGGCAATTAATAATATCTCCTCTTGAAAAAAACTAGATGACAGAAAAAAGTTGAGAAAAGCAGATCACAAGGATGTAGAAGAAGCATTACTGAAGTGGTTCACCATTGGACAAATGTCGATGAATTTGTAAAGTGATTTTATGAGACTACTTGCATGTGCTCCAATGGCAGGTGAGACAGATTTGAAAAACGGAATAACAGAAATTCAGGAAAAATTAGCTGAGAGTCGGGAAGTGTTTCCATAACTGATGTTGAGGATTGCTCATCAGCTAAAGATTACTAATTTTTTTCGTACGCAAGAAGAAGAGTAATGAAAAATAACGCATTTTTTGATACTAAATAATATTTTTCAGTCATTTATTTGAATAATGTGTAATAAAAGGGAGGAGTTTGGGAACCATTAGTTAAATTGCCTGCGTAACGGATATAGTGAACACTCGGTTATAGTGAACCAAAATTTCGGTCCCTTGAAGGTTCACTATAGCGGGGTTTGACTGTATATCATAAATTAATTTTGTAAGAAAAATAATCTTTTTGTATGTGTACATTTAGTTATCTAGTTTTAAGACAGGAAAGCATGGAGGTATTATTGCACAAAACTAAATTTATATTCTAAAGTTTTTTTTAAAAATCTATTTACTTTAAAATAAAGAAAAACATTCTTTACTTCAAATTTTTCAAACGTAGAACTAGTTCAGAATGCGAAGTCATAAGTAAATCTTTAGCAATTTTTTTTTTAAATGGACTAGAGATAGGTATATACTTCATTATAATTAGATTTCTTTTGGGCACTGAATGCAAGTATTTGATCATATGAGAAAATGGTCTTGCTTTTAAAAAGCATTTTAAGTATTTAAGATTTACTGGGTGCCAGGCAAAATCGGTACCCTTGGGCTAAAATAGCGACCAAATTTTAGTGACAACCAGGCATTGTCCTTTCCAAAATACGGTAAGGGTTAAAAAAATTTTATTATTAGTTTTAGCAAGCTATTATATATATTTTCTGGGTAAAGCAGCTTCATCAGAGGTAACAATTAGTGTACCATTTCTTTTAGTCCACTTCTGTCATATTCTTTTTTCGTTTCTTATGTGCCTCTGCCTTGTTGTTACCAAAATTTGATAAGATTTTTTTCATTTAATCAATCTTATCTGGATGAAACTGAGGTCCAGCCAAAAAGGAGTACCACATTAAGATAATAATATAATAGATTTGTGTATCCAACTGTTTCATTAGATTAAAATATTTCTACAGCAATGATCCATATTTCTATTTAATAAAGGTTGTATCATCTGAAGTAATTTTTCGTTGTTGTCTGTTTTCATTTAATTATGAATGTTATCAGTTGTAGTAAACTGTGTTGTCACTCCTTATTATAATTTGTTGTTGAATTTTTTGTGTTTAACAGAATAATTAGATAAATATTTATCTTTAAAACTGCCTCTCTTGTTGAAGTCGTACATTCATTCGCAATATGTATTTTTACAATTTCCTGATATTCTTTGTTATGTTAAGGTTTTTATTATGAATGTGTTTCTCATTTATAATATATTTCAAAATTCTGTAGAAAAAAAATTTTCTTTTTTATTTCTATGAACTCTAAAAAGTAATAAAATGTTAAGTAATAAATAATTTTTTTAAGAAAAGGTTTGACTGTTTCAAGTGTTGTGATTTAATCACTCAGTTTTCTTATTTTATTGTCAGGTTTGAAACAAAATGAACATATTAATATAATAAGAATATACATTATTACAATATCCTAAGAATCTCACTATAACCAATATCAGAGAATTTCCAGAATGGCAAACACTCTCTCTCTCCTTTTAAAAAATAAGAAAAGAAATAGAGAAACAATTACTAGCAGAAAAAAAACAGAACAAGAGAAAATTAAAAGTAAAATGAAAAAGAAAAGATTTTTCTATCTTCATTGTTGAAAAATATGGGATATTTTTCATTTTATTTTAAAATTTGATATAAAAAAAGACACTTATTGTTAGTTTTAAGTAGACTTAAATCGGAATATCATGAGCAATTCTGTTAATTTCTTCCTTTAAAATGAAAATTTTTTATTTTAATGTTTTCTCATTAAATATTTATTTCTGATATCTTTATCGGGCTTAATATAAGCCTATGTTGTTTATCTTTTTGAGGAAAGCTAAAGTACAATTGTAGTAAAAATAAAATTTAAATTAAACTCCAAGAGCAAAGTTTTTTACCAGTCATAAATCTTAAAATTCATGCCAAACTTTTTCAAAATATAAAATACCCGAAACAGAAAAAGCATTTACAAATTGAACTGTTCTATTGTTAGGCTTTATTAACAAGTAAAATAACTTATTACTTATTGTGTCACATATTCTGCATTCCTATGTACAATAAATATTTGTCTCCTAGTAACAATAATAAACATAATCATTAAAACAGTCTGCAATTATATGGTACTTCTATTTTGCCAATCATACGGTTTTGCATAGTAAAATTTGCTATCAAGCCCTGATGGCGACCTTTACAATACAAAAGTACTGTTTCTTTTTTACCTTTTTTTTTTATTTCTAAAAATTTTGATAATGCTGCATTCTGAGTGATTTCATTCAAATGAAATACATAAATATTTCTTTTACTATTGTGTTTCCTTGTACATCTGGACAGGTTTAGATCCTGGAGTTTATACTTTGCCCTTTTACTGAACAGAATATTGTAAAAAACAACCTGGTACTTTTTTGTTGTAAGTAAGAGGGGCTACTGAGACATGGTCCCAGGGCCGGATTAACCTATAGGCACATGCCTAGGGCCTACGAAAAACTTGGGAGAAAAAAATTTGTTGACAAAAATAATTTAGCTGTAAAAACAACAGGTGTATAAAAATATAATATTTTTCGGTAATAAATTATTTTGCAGAATCTTATGATCTAAGATATTACTTTTTTGGAATCAACGAAATCTTGTATTATGCTGTCGAATTGCAGATAAAGTTCGATAAACAAATTTTTAAATTAAAATCCATATTAATAAAAATGTTAAAAAAAAATATGCAAGAAAATTTTAGCATATATTTTGAAAAGAGGGGAGGGCCCAAAAACGGCTGTGCCTAGGGCCTACGAAAGGTATAATCCGGCTCTGCATGGTCCCTATGTATTTTAGGGCCCCTAAAGTTCTTGGAGGTAAAATTAGTTTTTGAGATTTTCTGAGACCAATTAGATATTTTTAACCACCGTATCTTACAATTTTCCTTTAGAATTATTAAAAATTTTGTATATTTTTAAATGTAAAAGTTGGGAAGTAGAAAAAAAGAATTTTATTTAGTCATGTTTTTTTTGTCTCTCCTAACTCCCTAATTTTATCTATTAGATTGTTAAAAAAGTTTTGCAACACTTAGGAAAATTTTAACTTTTATGAATTTTTATTTTGTGTTGTTTTTTGGTGCTCTTAGTTTAAACTTTCATCATTAAGCTCTAGATCACTTTGGATAAAACTGAACTTCAGGTTTTTTATTAGTTATTGCCATAAAAGAGATCTTTCACCAAGGGGTGTTGCAGAACTTTTTTATTAACCTGATATATACATATATATTTCATTATGGAAAGTAAGCCATCTGGTACACAAATGTATGAAAATATTCCTCTTAATTGCAAATTTGACAAAAAAAGGGGGAGCCCTTTTATATGATATATAAGAAATTAAATTTTTGGTTAAAAGAAAGTGTTAAATTCATGTGAAGGCATGAATTTTCCATTATCTGATTAAGATAATTTCAAAATGGTTTGTTGTTGCATTAAAAATTTTCAATATACCAGAAAAATTTATTTTTTCCAAACATATATTTATATACAATGTTTTATTTTTGAGGAAATTTTGCTTACAATACAGGCAAACTGTATTGTAAGTTTAATAATTTTTATGTTTGAGGATTTTTACCGAATTTGGATTGATTCAAAACTTGCATTTCAGTTTAATTTGGTAAATATTTTGTGTTCATCTTGATCAGATGCAGAAAATACAAAAGCCAAGTTAGATTTATTACACATCATTCAAACGAAATTAAAATAGTTCTTTTTACATGACAAATCTGATGAATTTGAACAATAGATTTTTTAACTGTTGTTCTACTGACTTTATGTAAGAACCCAACAAATTCAGTTGAGGAAATTTTCAGAACTTTTCTGAGAATTTCCTCAATTGAAGTTGAAATCTAAATTTGGACTGTTAAGAACGAGTTCGAATGACTTTTTAATCAAGTAAATACATAATAGTTGCAAGAATCTACTGTATAGCTGTTGAAAATCTAATCTATCCTTGCTTGTTACCTTTTATTTCGCTAATTTGTCTGCATACCCTGTCTTGGAGAATACATGCACATGTAATGGATGATCCATTGATCCCTGTGAAAAGTTAGTAGACTTGAACATAGAAATTATAAATTGGATAATCCATCTATAACCATAAATACATGATTCATTATTTTTCATTTTTTGTGATTGGGGTTACAGAAGGTACTAGGTAACAATTGCTAGTAGTTAAATGGTGGGACATTTCTGCATGGTGATCTGTGGCAGAATTATCGCCAAGTCTTGGCAACTTACAACCAACGGCCCAAGAGAAACTTTAAAAAAAAAAAAAAAAAAAACATCACAGAAAAGGACAAATTCGAAACGTGTAACACGTAACCATCCTCTGGCAAACATCTACATGCTCTTTTTTTTTTTTTAATTTGCAATTATTGTTTTATTGGTATACAACATACATTTGCAGGCTCGTGTATCTCAATTAAGGCTTATAAACCTTAGTCAAGTAGAAGAATAGATAGCGTAATATAGAGAAGAACATCACAAAGGTCCATCCAGGGTTACGGCGAGATTCGAACCCGCCATCTCCACGTTCAACAGAGCGTTTGGCGAGCGATACTACTCGGCCAGGGAGGCCCCATTTGTAAGTTTAAAATCTACTTGCCACCTTCGCGATTACAACGCTTAAATACGCCATCTGGGGAGAAAACCGATTCTACCTCTTGACTCTTCCCCCTCTTCTTCTCAGTCGCTTAGAAATGTACTACAATACTTTCCTTTTCTTAATATTTTTCGTTCCCCTCCGCAGAGGATCAAATTTGCGATAGCATGCCTTCGGATTATCAGTAGGGATTCTTCCCAGACAGTCGCCAATAGCCCATTCTGCTGCTCCAGTGCGACGTAAATAAAGTACCTACCTAATTTTTCATATTAGATTGTCAAAATATATTTTTTAATTTCCTCGAAGCTTTCTTTTATAACTATGTTCAATATAATTTTCACTTCCAAATAGTTTCCCCTACTAAAAAGTTTTTTTTAACTACTATTTAAAAATCAAGAAACTACATGTACTTCCTTCTCCTATGACTCTCCATACGCTATTAGTGAAAGCATGTGAAGGGTTGCCATAGATAAAGAGCTCTGCTCTTCACCACTTGTAGCCCATTTCGATCGCCAATTTTCAAGAGATAGTATAGATCTGCATCGTAATATATTAATGATACACACCTTGATACCTGAAATACAGTACCTTTTTAAAATTAAAGAGTGATAGCAAATATGTGGTAGCACTTTTTGTTTCTCGATTTTTATTGCCTACGTAGATTTCTTTTCGTGGTTCGATGTAGTTCATTGAGAAGAAAAATGATGGATGATATTCGAATTCATTTATTGAATAAAATAGAATTCTTTACTTTTCTCTAATTAGTTGTTTTCACTTTTCGGTAGGGTTGTTTCGTGCAAAAAGTCATTCTTCAATTATAAAATTTCTCAAAAACCATGCATGAGGTACAGCGATTCGCTATATTTTCAAATTATTAATTTGGAGTTCAAATTTGAGAGTGTGATTATAAATTTGGAACACGACATAAGAAGTTGCATAATCGCCTCTTGGATCACTTTCAACCAACCATTTAGAGATTCATAATCTATGGGCTATTCTGAATTGCAGAAAGAATGAAAACTTTAGTTTAACTGTATTTACAACCATACCATAGAAATATTGAAAAACTGGCTGCATTCTCTGTATTTAATATTGTGTAAAATCTAGTGAAATTTTAAAATTTCTTTGGAATATTGCTACATAAATCAAGAGTTAAACAATGGATATTGTCGCTGAGAAACTTGAAGCTTTGGTAAGAATTTTCTGTAATGTGAGATATTTTAATTTATTTTTAGTAGTGGGAAATAGTTCTTTTTGCTTATGTTTGGATGCTTGTAAACAACACTATCATTGTATGACTAATTTACAATGATAAGTGTTTTATTTTTTCATTTTAATTATCTTTCATACCTGTAAATTTTTTTTTAAAACTTGTATTTTCTCTCTAGTTAAAATCTTTAATAAATTTTCCTGAAATTTGATAAAAAAAAGTTATAACAGTAAATAATGTTAAAAGGATTGTTTGTTTACTTTTTTTATTTACCTATTTTCTATTCCAAACAGCTTTCAAGAGTAGCATCCTCTGAAAAATATTTAAATATTATGATCGAAAACTGATTATATATTGAATATAAAGCTTAAACTGGTCATGGATTTCCCGAACCAACGTATTTTGGTAATGTTCTGAATCAATTTAAATAACAAATTTTGTGATGAAGTTTAGTTGGCATAAATGCTAAAACTATTCAGTCTGTAGTAAAAGAGGAAATTTAGATAATATATTAAAGCAATAATCTGTATTAATTTTTCGTTTATAATTGGTACTGTCAAATTCAGATTCTAATCACTATTTCCTAAATTGTCATTGCAGAAATCTAAATAATACTTGATTTATATTAAGAATTTTATTGGCTCTGTTATTTTTGAAAAAGAAACTTATTTCTGTTATTTTTTTTTAAATGTGCGTTATAACTGAAATATTTTTATGCTCCAAGCTGTAAGATAATTATAGCTGTAAGATTCGGATTAGTGTTAACCGCTGAACAACACTAATCCGAACCGTGCAAACACAAGGATTTGTTTAATGCCCACAGTATGTGAAAAGTTTTGGCTAAACTGAAATAAAGATGATTTTTTGTACATTTTTTAGTAAATTTGTAAGTATCGCAAATTCATAAATATGATATTTAAAAATTTATTCGTAAATATTTAAGCGTAATGGGTTAGACATTCTTCATAAATAATGTGATATTTGGGGTATATTCCGTATCATGATCTGCCAGGGCAACTTCAATTGGCAATTCTTCAAATTGATTTTAACTCCTCAACTCATTTGACAGTGTTTGACACGGGCGAAAGTTACCTGCAAGCAATCTTGTATCTCTCATTATATTATATCTAATATCCATTATAGTAAAAATGGATAAGCTAGACTATAATTAGGGGTCCATCTGGGCCAAATTTACTATACCGTTTAGCGGTACCTTCACGAATTCAACTTTAGGAAAAACAGTAGTTTCACAAAATACTTTTTCTTAAAATTTTATTTTTGTATGCCATAAGAAACGATAAATTCTTATTTTTACCATATTTTTGTGTTGATTTTTTCATTATAATTTTTAATTTTCTCAAATTATGTGTAAATTTTCTCAAAATAGGTACCTTTCAGAAAAACCGAGACAGACCCCTGATAATTAAATTTATGACACCACTATGAAGCATATTTTTTTTGTTAACCACATGATACATTTTGATGATTAGCTTTGAAGTTTGTTAGGAATTCTTTTTTACAAAGCAGTTGTTTGTAATTATATTTGCTTGCATAAAGTTTTTCAATAGAGATTTTCTGTTTATAAAAAGTTTTCAATTTTATCTAAGTCTGCTTATTCCTTTCGTTAGGTCGTAAGAATCCTATTTACACAGTACCTAAAATAGTTATCTTGACACCAATATTAGTATATATTAAGAAAACACCAATTTTTATAATAAAAGTGGGACAAAAATTGATCAAGCATTATTGGCATCAGTAACAGTATGGCAAATTTTTTACAGTTATAAATGGATAGTTACCTTTTCTCTGTTAATTTTAACTTATTAACACTTTTTTTAAAATTTGAATCTGTACATATTACCAAAATTAAAAATAAGGAGGTGCATTGATTCAGTGTTTTCACTACAGCGCGAGAACGCGAGAATCTCGCATATTTTTTTCTTTTCTCGCATTAAAAAATTATTACTGCGAGAAATTTGCGCATTCTATAAATCAATTTCAAAATTCGCGAATTTCTCGCATTTTGGAAGAAGCTTCGAATTACGCTATTTAGAATAAAATCCGTTTCACTTTTCTTCCTGGATCTCTCATTATTTTCAACATTTGCTCCGTTATCTAGCTTCCCTATTTACCAGTATTATTTAGAACCTTTTCGAACAACAGAATACAACCGAACCACGGAACCCCTTTCAGAACACATTTCTCTGCAACCACGTGTTTACCATAGGTAAAGTTTTTTCATGTAAGACGTTCAAATTTTTTATGCACTAATGTAAGAGGGACAAATACCTAGTAAAGGCAAAATTTTCTATGCTGATGCAGCAAGAATATTCAATGCTTTAAAAAATAGAAGACGTTAAAAATGTATTATAATAAAAGAAATTATTTTTTTTCCAAGTCTATTTGTGTTTTTTAAGATTTTGGAAATCTCACTTTGGAAATCTCACATCTTTCTGAAATCTCACCCTGTTTTTGAGAAAGGGCGAGAAATTCTCACCCATTTTTTTTCTATGATGAAAACACTGGATTGCTAACTAATGTTATTGACTCTATACAATAGTCTAAAATAACTGTATAACTTACTGTAATACAGTATAGTGAACCTTCAAGGCACCGAAATTTCGGTTCACTATAACCGGGAGCTCACTATATCCGTTCCTCAAACAATTTTTACTAATGGCTCCGAACTCTTTTTTATTATACATTATTTAAATAAATTTCTATTATTATACATTATTTAAATAAATTAAGAAAATTTCTTCCTATATTGCTGTTACTAAATGTCTTTTCAGTTATAGCTTCCAACTATGTTTTGGGAGACATAGTTTAGAAATAATATATATGAAAATGTGTATGAAGATTCATTATTAAAAGTTATATTAGTGCTTTCATAAGCATCTGTTAGGAAGATTATTAATGTGATTGCAAACAGTTTTCACAAACAGACTTCTATTTCTTTCTTTCTTTTTCTTATCTGCTAACTGGTTAATATTTATGTTCAAGTAAATTTTTTACATGTGTTTTTTAATAATTTCAATAAAAATTTCTATTTCAGATTTCCTGCGCTGAAAATTCTCTTGACTCTATTGAAATTCAGCTTGAAACTGAGTTGACCAAGCAATCTGGAATGCAGGTTGGTTTTAACATATAATTTGAATCATTGTATGTGCTCCTTTGACTTTCCTAAATTTCTCTCATTAAGTGATTGGATTGGTGCTTTAAGCAAATTGCTTAAAAAGATGGAGCTTTACACTTGAAATGTATTGCCCTTGATATTTCAAAATGGGCTTAGATTTTGATGTTAAAACATTTTGCCAAAACTTAAGAGCAACCAAGCCACCTTATGAATGTCCTGTCAAGTCATGTGGAAAAATTTATAAAAGTTTTCAAGGAATTCAATTTCATTTGTACAATTATGATCATGACAATCCCCCAATTCAACAGTCTCCTTCCACATCCTCATCTAAAATCAGAAAAAAGAAAAATAAATGGCATCCTCGTGCCAACCGTAGATCTCCTTCACCTCTGCAAGTTTCACCTAGTCCTCGTGACAGTTTACGCTATAATGAACCGCAAAAAGTCGTTGAAGTTGATTTAAATGGCCATGTTCATCAGTTGAACATTTGTGAACCAATTGACTTTGTTTTGCATGATGGTACTGAGACTGAGAAAAAAACTGAACAAAAACATGAAAAAATGGAAGTGAAACACACCAAAGCTAAAGTTACTAAATCCAATCGTCATTCTGATGCTTCTAAAAAACATAAAGAACCACCTCCTGTGAATACACCAAAGCTTCCTGAAGCTTCTTATCGTATTATTTCAGATTATAATGCTCCTGATGCACCCCCTATGCCTACAGCTTATTATCGTTTTATAGAAAAATCTTTGGAAGAATTGGATGAAGATGTAGAGTATGATATGGATGAGGAGGATTGTGTTTGGCTGGAATTTATGAATGAAAAACGTAAAGTTGATGATTTATCTGAAGTGACGCCTGACACTTTTGAGCTTCTCATGGATCGCCTTGAGAAGGAATCTTATTTTCAAAGTCAAACTACTGGGAAAGATCCCAATCCTTCAATTGATGAAGATGCTGTCTGTTGTATATGCAATGATGGTGAATGCCAGAACTCCAATGCAATTCTTTTTTGTGATATGTGTAACCTAGCAGTACATCAGGAGTGTTATGGTGTCCCATATATACCTGAGGGCCAGTGGTTGTGTCGAAGGTGTCTTCAATCACCCTCTAGAGCAGTAGATTGTGTACTTTGTCCTAATAAAGGGGGTGCATTTAAACAAACTGATGATGGAAGATGGGCTCATGTGGTTTGTGCTCTTTGGATACCGGAGGTTTGTTTTGCAAACACAGTATTTTTAGAACCGTTAGACAGTATAGAAAACATTCCACCTGCTAGATGGAAATTGTCTTGCTATATTTGTAAACAAAGGAGTGTTGGAGCTTGCATTCAATGCCATAAAGCCAACTGTTACACAGCATTTCATGTTACCTGTGCTCAACAGGCAGGTCTTTATATGCGAATGGAAGCTGTTAGAGAAAATAATGCAAATGGCACTTCTTATAATGTACGTAAAACTGCTTATTGTGATGTTCATGCTCCAGCAGATATGGATACTAGTCAAGATGATGACAACAGTAAAACTGACACTTTTAAAAAAGCTAAAGCAAAAGCTAAATCAAGAGAGAAAATGAGGAAAGCTCGAAAAATCCTAGCAGAGAAGCGTACTGCTGTTCCAATTGTTTCTCTACCTACAATCCCTCCAGAAAGATTAACTAAGATTGCAAGCATGGTTTCAATGCCGAAAAAACAAGCATTTTTAGATAGACTGCTAAGTTACTGGATTCTCAAAAGGCAGTCTAGAAATGGTGTGCCATTGTTGCGTCGTCTTCAGACATCTCAAACATCAAGGCGAGATCCCGATCTTGATAAAGATGCTGCTTCTTTAGGTGAACAGTTGCAATATTGGCAAAAATTACGTCAAGATTTAGAGCGAGCTAGGCTATTGGTTGAATTAATACGGAAACGTGAGAAATTAAAACGTGAGTACATTAGAGCTCATCAGCTTGCTACTGAAATGCAGATTCAGCCTCTAATTGTGAAGTTCCGTCAAGTTGTAGATCAATTAAAAGAAAAGGATATAGGGGAGATATTTGCCAAACCTGTTGATCTAAATGAAGTACCTGATTATTTAGATTATATAAAACAGCCTATGGATTTATCTTCGATGTTAGCAAAAGTAGACTCATACAGTTATAATAGCTTTGACAATTTTGAAAATGATTTTAATTTGATGATTAAAAATTGTTTATCATATAATTCAAAAGATACGGTTTTTTACAAAGCAGCTCTAAAAATGAGAGAGCAAGGTGGACATGTTTTACGTGAAGCCCGAAAGTTTATGGTTATAAATTTTGATTTTAAAACCGGTTTGTTCCTGGAACAGAAAACTCGAGCTAAGAGTGAAATTCAATACTATGGCTCTGAAGAATGTAAAAACGAATCTCGTTCAACGCCAGAGAGGCAACTTGATAGATGTCTAAACAAGTTGGATGAGGCTTATAAAATGAAACCTGGAGTGTCAAGGACAAGAAGAATAAAACGACTTCGCACCGAATCAGTAATATTGCGAAGAAAAATTTCATTACGAGCAGCTATTGAACGTAAAAGAAATCGCAGTATATCTGGTTTTAAACTTCATTCTAGTGATTCTAAGCCTAATTATTTAGATGACTCGTCTTTAAAAGCTTTAGATCAAACACCTAATACAAAGAAAGAAATTAAATCAGGTGACATTAAGTCTTTAACGCTTTCTCCTGAACTCAAAGACAATCTTTTAAGCAAAGTAAAAGATGAAATTGAAGAGGTCAGTGCTGTTAAAAAACGAGGGAGACCTTCTTCTCTTAAATCCCAGAAGAAAATTGCTGTTGCTAGTCCCAGAAATTTTACTCGAAATAGAACAAAAATAAAAGATAGCACCAGTGAAAGTGATGTTAAACCAAACATTTCTGAGTGTGATGTCAAGCCTAAAGCATCTTTAAATAAAACTAGAAATAGGCAGAAATGGCAAGACTCTTCATCTGAAGTTGATGAAGGTAGTCTCCCAAACGTTAAAAATAAAGTTAAAGAAGATAATAGAGTGAAGGAGAAAAAAATGTTACGTACACCTCTTCGAAGAGCTGCTAAAGAAGGGCTAAGTCAAAATATGGTTTTTACTGATACAGATGAAGAAGATAAATGCAGTGTTGATCATATGAAAACTGTTTCTTCTAAAGCAATTTTCCATGGACGTAATCTCAGAAATCCAGGAACTGATTCTGCCGATGAAGATGTGGTCTCGCCGCCACCTCGCGTGGGCAGACCTCCTAAGAAAAGCTTTAAGAATAGTTTAAAATCATTAAATGCTAAAAATTTGTCTCCTCCTCCTACATTGTTAAAATCTCCAAAAGGTTCATCTACTTCATCTGAATCTCAACAGGTGGTTCAGAAAGCTGTCAAAAGTCCTTCCGTTTCATCAATATCACCCAAGTCTACAAAAGCTGTATCTCCTCCTGTTTTGAAACCCCAGATATCTGCAAACATACCTGAAGATCAAACTGAAAGTCCTACAGTAATGCACCATAAAAGATTTCAAAAGCAGGAAGCAATCTTAGCATCTAGAACTAGACGCTCTATGGCAACTAGAAGGGATAGCATTAAAGAATTTAGTTCTGAAGCTAGTGAAGCTGAAACCGACAAATCTTTTGACTTGAAAGAAAGGGAAACTCGTAGCAAATCTACAAGAGCTCAAGGTCGTTCACAGTCTGAAACTGATGTTATACCAGCAAAGAAAAGTCCCAAGAAAAACCGCACAACCAGCATGACGACAGAGGGAGAAGTTTTTACCAGAAGAAAATCCTCTGCACTGCATAACTCTCTTTCCTCTTGTTTATCACCTTTTTCAACTTTACCACAAACTGATAGTTTCAAAGTATACAGATCCAATACAAAAGATCATGGTACTGATTCTGATAATAATTCTTTAAAGAACAGTAGTTCTGAAGAAGAGGAAGAAGAAGAATCTGAATATGAAACTGATGATGAAGACGAAGAGGAAGAATCAAAAGATAAAAAGCCCGTTTCTGCTGCTGTTAGTGCAAGAACAGAAGAACTTCAGCAAATTCCTCTTCAGCCCTTAGATTTAGTCTGGGCTAAATGCCGAGGATATCCTTGGTATCCAGCTTTGATAATTAGTCCAGATATACCAAATTCTGGATATTTTCATAATGGTGTGCCAATACCAATACCACCAGATGATGTTGTAGCTTTAAAAGCTAATTATAAGTCAGATGTTTATTTAGTTTTATTCTTTGATACTAAGAGAACTTGGCAGTGGTTACCTCGAGATAAATTGGAGCCTTTAGGTGTCGATTCCAACTTAGACAAAGCGAGACTCGTTGAGTCCAAAAAAGCAGCTGAGCGGAAAGCTGTAAAAAAGGCTTTTGAAAATGCTATTTTGCACCGGTGTCGTGTGACAGGGGAATCTACCAGCATATCAAATGATTCAGACACTGAAAGTTAATGCGAGATCTCACTTCTAAAATTTATTTGTTCTGTATCATAAAGCATTATTTATTGAGCACCATGTAAATTATTCAATGTAAATATTTGTCCATATGTGTTTCATCTTCTGCAGAGGATATCAGTTAAGCTCTTATAGAGAACTAGTTAAGTTCCAATTGAGGACATTTTCACAATTTCTCTGAACTTGTTGTTTAAGGATATATATTTTATTTGTAGTACAGGACTATTTTTATATATGAGCATTTTTAACAGTTTGTAAATATTCATCACCCATTATTGTTGACAGAGATTAACTATTGATATTTCCTGTGTAACTGAGCTTTTTCTAATGAAGCTCTAGTTATATGTTTCAGAGAAAGAATTTGGTACTTAAAGCCATTTTCAGTGTCAAATTTCGTTCTCCTGCTCTGCTCCAAAATTTTCTTGAGGGCTGGATCTCGTGGACATAATTATTTTGGTGAGTATACATAGCACTGCATGCTTAGATTCTTTAATTGAATCAGTACTTTAATTGAATGATTTAATTGAAACAGTTTTTAGTGTTCTAAATATACTTGTTAAACATGGTGCGTAGCATTTTTAAAAAGTGCCTAAAGCTACTTAATTTCGTTTTTTAAAAGCCCTTAAAGGTGCTTTTCTCGTGGGGTGTTTTTAAAAAGTGCTTAATTTTTCCCTTTTCGAGAGTAAGATTTGTTTTTCTTTACGATTTCGATTTTCTCTACGAATTATGCAAAAGTGTGGTTTTCTCATTGTTCCATTCAACGTTTTTACAATTCATTCCACTACTATCCATTTCAGCTTACCGTCGGTCCGTAACGTATGGTAGCGCCAATCATGTTACAAGTTTAAGTTTGATGAAATACTTCTACTGAGCTGCATTCAGTGAGATTCTTGCACTCTCATGTGTGACTCTGCTGCATTTTGCAAGATATTCTCAATTTCAGGTTTCATTTTCCACCCTCTGAAATCGAACAGAAAAATTTCTCAATCTTTTTATGGTGGCTAATATAATCATAATCAAGAAAAGAATTCTATGTCAGAAACTAGTTATTTTATCATGATCATGTAAAATCTTAGAAAATTATTTTACGTTTTGTTAATGCATATAGTGCTTAAAAATATTTTATGAGTGTTTAAAAAGTACTTTAAAGGTGCTTATTTTTTGTTGAGAGATTTGGCTACGCACCCTGTTATAAATAATAATGAAGTTAAATTTCCTTTAACAGTTTACTTGAATCCAACAGTACAGTAACTATTTAAATTATTATCCCTAATTATGATAAAACAGCATAAATTACTTTCTCTCACCTTTTATCCTGATTAAAACATAAAATTCTCTATGAAAAAAATTTCTGTATTATATATATATTCAGAAAAATAAAAAAATAACACATTAATTGAAAAATTTAATAAAGTTAAACATTGATAAAACATTCACTCAATTGTAGCATCTGCACCACCTTTTAAATTTTTCTGCAAACCCAATGAACCAAACTAAGAGTGTACAATCTTTATCACTTGATAACTTAATTATTCTGTTTTGATATAAGAACTATTTAAACTTTGTACAAAAATTAAAAGAATGAGTATGTATGTCTACTGTTTTGAATTGAGAAACACCTGATTAAAGTTTTGCAGCACACTAATAAAAACATTTGAAGATTTTCGATTTTGAAGCAGGGTACTGTGCATTGCCTATTAGAGAGTCACATTTTACTTCTGAGTAATTTGTGATAGAAAATAATTTTGTCTCAGTATTATTAGTTTTACTTAGCAAAATCTGAATTTGTAATGCACACACATTTTTAGTACAGTATTAATCTTCTTAAATGGTAAGAATTGAAAAAAATTTAAAAAGCATATTTATGTAACATGATTTATTTTAAGAAATCGCCATTGAAATATAAATTATAATTCTTTATAAATAAAAAGAATTGAAACATTTGATTATGGATAATTTTAATTAGAAATGACATTTTCTAATATCTTAGAATTTTTTTTTCTTTTACAATTTAACAGATTTTGCAAAATTTGGAGAATAAATTTTTCAATTTCACTTATTATCTTCAAATTTCTTACATCTATGTTTATGAATGTTAATGTACTTAATTTGAATTATCTAGTAGTAGGTATTTCTAGTCTATTCTCTAAAAATATTATTTTATAAAATATTTATATTTTGTTTCAATTTAATTTTTTGTAATGAAAGAAAAAATAAATTTAATTATCCAAACAAACAGTTTAATTGTTCTATTCTTCAAAAAAGTTCTTTTTTACAGTTTTTTGTTGTTCAATTAATTTCATTTCATATATATAATTTTTATGCTTTTAAACACAGTAATAGATTAATTTTTAAAAAAATTAAATTTAAATTAATGTAATAAATTTCATTTCTAAAAACATTTTTCAAGTAAATTTCCAAATACATTCATACAATAATACCTACTCACGACTTACACTCTTTTACTAAATTACCAATTCTATTTTTGAAATATAATTGAATTGGAACATAATTTATTTTAATTTACATTATAAAACTAATTTTGAGAATTTGAAGCTGGATTTAAAAGTAGATCTTTAACAGATACAAACTTTTGAAGTCCATAAGTATTTTTTTTCCCATCAAACTTTATGATTTTTTTAGAGAAAATTAAGTTTAATTTATCAATCAATTTTGTATCATGTATACTTAGATTCAATAGAATATTGCTATTTTATGAACATTTATTATGACTTACCAGGCTAGGCTCGTTGATTTATATCTTTAGTTACTTTAACTAAGTTATTTAGGTCAAATTCTTTCTCTGAAATGTTTTGTGTTATATTTAGTTATTTATAAACATTATTAAACATCATTATCAGAAAATATAACATTAAATTATTATTTTAATGTTATTTTCTGAAGTTTTATGTTTAAACTAAACTTTTAACTAACTGTCAATGAGTATATTTGTTTTCCTTGTTTTGCATAGAGCTATTTTTCATATATAGTGCTTTTAATGTTTTATTCCCAAGATAATCATAAATATATTTTCAAAAGCCTTGAAATAAGAAGCCTGCTATTTAAAAAAAAACGCACTGTTTTTCATCAAGTTTTTATTAATTTTTCCGATTAAGGTAACTTTTTTTACTTAAAGCCCTTCTCAAAGCTCTTTTTGAGAGAATATCAAATAGATTTTAATATCAGTTCAATGTGTTAAGAGAGTCAGATATTGCTATTATATATTAATAAGGCTTCCTATATTAAATTATAGGGATTACCAGAATCTAAATTTCTTAATTAAATTACTAATATTTATCATGGAATAAATTTTATAATTTTATCATGGAATAAATTTTATAATTCTCATTCATAATTTTTTTTTTTTATGGAACTTAGTTATCAAATTTTGATTTTTATGGTTTAAATTATTTTTTAAACGTGGTTAAATTTTACCAAAGCTACTCAAGTGGCTTTAATAATTTTTTTAGAATACTTGAAATCTAAAATTTGGTATCTAAGTTCTGTAAAATATATTTTAATTAATAAAATGAAGCAAAGTGTTTCCAAAATATTAATTTGTGACTTAAATAGGTAATAATTGATACTCATATAATTCAGTGTAGTTTCATGTAGGAGGATTGCATTTGAAGCAAAGTTAAATACTATATACATTATTTTGCTAAAAAAATGTGTTGGCTTAAAATATGTGAAATATTTAAAGAATTATTAATTTTTTTCTTGTTTTTTTTCCTTTGAATATCATAAATCTAGTTTTTTTTTTATTTATTTTTGTTAAGAAGCAAGAAAGTCATTAAAATCAGTGAATAATTCTTAAATTTTAGCATATTTTTATACAGCAAGCTATGCACTGTTGCACATTTCAAAAGAAAATTGTGGCTTTTCCTTATATATTATTTTCCACCATAGATGGTGCTGCAAAATTTCACTTAACAATCATCAGTAATTATTTCAACTCACAAAAGGTTAAAAATAATTTATTTCACACAATGAAAAAACCTTTGAAGAAGGGCTTTAAACCGAACTAATGCACTTAAATTCTTAAATATTTTTTCTCACATTCTTTCATCAAGACAAATTCTTTTAATAATTATTTTTGTTTTTAGCTCAACCCAGTTGCCTTGTTCAGTGCTATTGAAGATTCTAAGAAAGAATTGGCGGAACTAAAAAGGGAAATGAACCTTCTTGTCAAAGCTCAGGAGGTTAGTCACATACATTAAATGTGTCTAGATTTTTAGCTTTCTATTTACTTTCATTTATTTTTAAATTATAATAAGTTGAAGGGGTTGAAAAAATTTTTGAAAATTCTAGAGTTGCACTTTTACTCACCTGAATGTTAAGCACTTTAAAGTCATGTAGTATTTATTTAATACTTATTTTCTTGATAACAAAGTTCTGTTTCTGTCTTCACACTATCAGTGCTTCTTTATGCGTAAAAATACTCAATACTTATGTAAATGGGATAGTTACTTAGTATACTTTGTACTATGGAGACTAAAGCACAAATGAAAATACGGAGATGGTCATACTAGTTTAGTTCTATAAATTAAGTAAATTGATTTTAATAAATTTACTTTATGTAAATCAAATCGCATGTTTTTCCGACAGTGATGTGCCCCATTAATAGTTTTAGGGAGAGATGTGAATTTCAATTAAAAATAATTTACATGATCTGGTATATTTTCAATTTGGAAGAACTGCTTTCGCAACCTAATACAGTTGAACCTGTTTATCTCGAACCTCTTTATCTTGAAAACCTCTATATCTCGAAATTTTTAAAATTCCCTACATTTACTGTCTAAAATAAATTTATTTTCCATGTTTATGTCGATTTTTTTCCCTTCAAAACCTCCATTTCTCGAATTTCTAATTATAGAGCACAAATGTCAAAACTTTCCTCATCAGCAGAACTCGTAGACAGAGATGAATTTCGTGAATCCACAGGAAGTAAGGATGAACAGGTTGGGGGTGTTTCTTGAAATTTCAATCACTATCCCTGCACTTCCTTAACTAGTAAGGAATACAATGATTCTGGCAGTAAGTGAGGGGTTAATGAGTAGTGACCATCAGGGGTTAGCTTTTCAACATAGATAAGAAAGCTAAGAATAGAAATTCATTTTGACCTCAAAATTGCAACCAATGGATCAAAGGATAAAGTGAACTATAGAAAACGATCTATGAGGAATTTGCGATCTTTCTAACCTCAAAAGAATAATTGAAACAAATAAGGTTATCAGTCAAAAATCTTATTTATTATTTTCAGTGTTAAATGTATGTTAAAAAACTGTTATGTAAATAGATGTATGTGGTATAATTAATTTAAAGAAATGTCTATATTTTTCTACTAAAAACAAAGCACTTTTAATCAAATTTCTTAATTAAATTTAATTTCTTTATAGTACCTGTATAACTTGAAACCTCTCTATCTCGAATTTTTCGCCTTTCCTGTGAGATTCGAGATAAACAGGTTCGACTGTATTAACTGTTGAAAAGTTCAGTTTGACTTAAAATAGCTTCATCTTTTTGAATTCTTATTCCTTGATATAAAACCTTTTTTTTATTATTATTAGTTACATTAAAGTAACTAGTAACTATTTCAATGCAAAAGATTAAAGTTCTGGCAGTTTAATATAAAAATTAACTTATTTATATTTATAATTAATCCCTGTTTCTACTCTTTCTTTAAAGCTTTTTTGCAACTTAATAGTTGGTGACTTTCTTTCAGCAAATATTGGTTTCCCAATGTTATTCAATAGGTAAATAAACTCAGTAGGAACTGTGTAATTGAATCAGTTTACCTCATTTATTTAAGACAAATTATTTAAGATGTAAGAAAGATATGTTAAAATTATCTTTCAAATTAAGCGTAATTAACAGACAAAATCGAACAAAGTTTTGTAATTAATGCATTTTATAATTATTTTAAACTTTCGTTGACTGATATTTCCTGCCAGGATCTTGTTTTGGAAATTTCAAAATTATTTTTCGCCAAAAAACTTATTATTAAGAAGTATATAGGTAATTTTACAAAAATGTTATTTATTCGAGACTATATGAACAGTTAAATACCAAAAAATTAAAACATCCCTCTTCTTCTGTAAGTGTTCTCAAACATACCTAATTTCTTTCCTCTGCAAATTGTGTAGAAATTTAAAAACTTTCATGTATGTGTAGAGCTGAATTATCTATACCATTAAAAAAGAACTACTTCCAAAACAATATTCTTTGCTATAGTTAAATTACTGATATTATAATATCAGTAATTTAATGTTCTTTTTTGTGTTTAATAGAAACATAATCAAAAATTAATATAGATTTTCAAGACAAAATCAGATAAAATAATGTACTATTGATTTTTACGAATAAGTGTTAAAGTCTGTTTAAATTAAATGAAAAAATTGGCAATTTTGATGTAAGAGTCAGTTATTTATTATAGCTTATGAATATTAAAGGTTATATATTTGGTTAATGAGACTGATTACTCTTTGTTAGCGACAGGAGAGACTTAAATTTATAAAGTTTTTGTATGTAAAGTTTTAATTTGTTTTATAGGAAACAAAAGAACAGCTCACTGAGAAAGTGCAGGTGCTTTGCAAACAGTTACAAGATATGGAGAAGAAACTAGGTTCAGGAAATACCTTATCCTGTAATGCTGGTTCTGTTATGAAAAGTCACTTCAAATGATCTTTTTGCGTCTCAAAATAACATTGCATTTTTTTTCCTTTTGTTAAAATAGTGGATATTTATCATCATTTAAAAAAAAAAATTTAACTATATAGTTAAAGTGTTTATCACTTGTGAAATAGATGCCAAGAAACTTAAATTTAAAATTGTTCAAAAATCACAAATAGCAAAGTTTTATTAAAACATTAACATGTAATGGTGTCATATAAGTTCTCCTTCGAAAGTTAGTTAAATTGGCAGAGGGAATAAAATTTGATAAAAGAGGTTACATTGAACTAATTGAAGCAAATTTAGATTTAAAGAGTAGCAAACTTTAAATTGACTGTAAAACCAAATATCAATGATTTCCGAATAAGTTTAAGAAATTAATATATCTATATTTTATAATGATGTTTTACGAATATGGGTCCAAATTAATATATATATTTTTTTATATTGATGTGGAAACTTCTAGAAATCTGAATTAATGCATGAAATTAATTTATAGATGATATTGGGTGAGAATATCCTCCTCAAATGCATTGTCACTTTATGTTGTCCATAAATTTATTTCGTACATTGGCCTAAATTTCTGAAAGAGTTTTCCACATTATTAAAAGCAAAAATTCTATTGTTAATGATCTCACTGCTGTACCATAATTTTTAAATATTTGGAAATCCTTTTACTCATTAACTTTCATGATTACTCATTAACTTGACTCAATTAGTGTGATATAAAAGATTCTATTGATTGATGTAATCTCTGTTTTACAATCTCCACCGTTTTTCCTACTGATAAAACTATGCAAAACTGAAATGTTTAATAAGATTTAAATATTTGTGACTTTTAAACATTGTTTTAGAATAAATTTCAATTTTATACCTTATGATTACTCTTATTTTAAAAGTTATGTTTAAAGACTAAAATATTGTTTAGGCAAACTACTTGCTTTAAACATTCCTTAAAGTTATTTAAGAAATATTGATTGCACTATTTTTACTTAGTATTCTCTGGCATATGTGGTTATGTATTTTTTTATTTCAGTTGTGTACAAACATTTTGCACATTTTTGCAATTTTATTTTCTTACTTTTTGCTGTTAAATGCACAAAATTTTTTTATGAGTTAAGTGAAGTCTTTCTATAATTAAATAATCTGGTTCCAGTTGAAAAATTTGCTATACTGTTCCACTATACAGAGGTTAGAGATGTTTTCAGTTATTTAAGTGAAAAGTATATAATGAGTAGCAGTATGATATGACTTAAAAATTAATACATCACATACTATAAATTTATTATTATAATTATAGAAATAAAATGCTTAAAAGTGAAGACAATTCATCAATTTCTAGTAATATATACCTACTGTATTTTACTTGAAAAATATTCACTATGTTAACTTTCTACATCTAAAAAGTTGTGCAGTGTACAAAATACAAAACGGACCACACAGAATAACTTTGGATCTAATAATCGAGCCTTCACATTCTAGGACTATCTCGAAGGTGGCCTCATATGCTAATTACTTAGTGCAGACAATATTTTAAGCTACGAATTCAGACACAAAAATGTACTTTTTCTGAAGAAACATACCTTCTTTTTCAACGAATTCGAATTTATGACCCTCAAATCCCGAAATCTGAGTCTGTTGAAAAAAAGGTAAGTTTATTCAGAGAAAGTACGAATTTGTGTCTGAATTCGTTGCTTAAAATATCGTTTGCATCAATTAACATATTTGAGATCACACCCTTTGAACAATTAAGATTCAGTCTTGGAACGGGATGAATCTGATCATTAAAGTAAAAGTTATTCAGGGTGGCCTTTTTATTTTACTGTGCACTGTACATTACATTGCTCAAATCTCTTGATCTGTACAATATAAAATCTTTGGCAGTTCATTTTCCTTTTCTAAAAAGTGGTAGAGTGTCAAGTCCTATGTTATTTTCTTTGATAATATCAATTTTCAATTCAAACTTTCTTCAAAATTAGATAACCTTTAAATATTCAATTGTAGGGAGACTCCACTGTATAATTAGTAAATTCATTATTCATATGTTTTCCTTATCTGTGAAATGTACCTAAAATAATTGGTTTAAGTCTTTGTTTATTATGTTTATTGTTACTCTGCATATTTAGCAAATTTAAAAATACAAATAAAGAAATCTATGCAATGACCACTGTATGAAATTGTAAATATAATTTTTGTAATAAAGCAAAGATAAAAGTATTTATAACTGTGCCTTAAATTTGTGTTACATACTAATATTCATCTTATTTTATAGAGAAAACAGAATTCAAATTTATTGATGATGTCAAACTGAAATATCAGACTTTTTTTTAAAGATGCCAATGTCGTACATTCTATAATAAAAACTAGTGTGTATCAGGAAGTACAGGGGTTGGGCGAAATAAAGAAAACGCTTCTTACTACCTAATTTTTTTCAAATTTCTCAAGAAAAAGAATTATTTTAAGTGTTAAGTCATGAAAATTATCAAGTGTAACGCTTTTATAGGTTTGAGGGACCGGCAATAAATTATCAACAAAAAAAAAAGTGTTTTTGATTAATCCTATACCGAAAAATACAGCCATAAGCTTGTAACTCATGTTAATTACATTGATTATCATGTGAAAAAATTGCGTTAACTCAGCTTAAAGTTATTTATGGAGATAAGTCAAAAAAATTAGTTTATAAAAATATTCATAATTTTTCTTACTATAACTGCAGAAATATTCAAAAAAATAATAATAAAATAAAAGCCGCTAGTCTATATGTAAATTTGTGCAGTTATCTGACATGAGTTATAATACTTTGTATTTTTCGGCTTAGATTGTTCAAAAAAATTCTTCTTTATTCGGAATTTATTCCCGATATCTGAAACATTTAAACTTTATTGATATGTATAAGAAATCACGTGATTTAAACACTTATGAAGTTTTAAAATAACTAAGTATTTCTTTAGAAATAGGAAAAAATGAGTTAGTTTTGGAATCTTAGCATTATTTTGTCAAACCCCTGTATATTTTTAGTTAGCTACATAATTATAAAATTACAATAAAATTTTTGTTGTTTTAGGAAGATTTTCTACTTAAAGTCATTAAAATGTTACCTATAAGTTGTAATTCTCTGTGACAGGATTCTTTTTAAGTTAAAAATTCCTTGCAAGAAATGAAAAAATTATTAAAAATTTTTTTTTTTCATGGTAAATTCTAACTTGTTATTTATAATTTTTGATTCCAAAAGAAAAATTAATCTAAAAATAAGCTAAGCATAAAGAACTTACATTTCCTTAACTTCGTTATAAAATATTTACTTGTTTCTAAATTCTAATGTAAAATTTTTGCTTCTCTGAAAGGCAGATACACAAAAAATTCAATTAAGTTATTGCAATTTTAGTTTAGAACTTAGCTGAATCTATTTTAATAGCTCACACATTACAAAATTTTATCAAAATTAAAATGGGAACAATCCCTAGTTTACATTGAATGATCTATATTAAGAGAAGGTATTAATGAGTTAATACTTTTCTAAAGTACACCACTATTACTGTTAATAAGCTTCCAAAAACAGCTTAAATACTATTTTATATTTAAAAAATTCAAATCACTTTACACTATTTTAACTACTGTTATTAAATAATTTGCATTTTCATGATTATTTAAATTTAAAAATGTATTAATAGGTTCATATTATAACTAAACAGTGATACCAACCGGTAGATAATGTACTTGGATGCTTTTCTAATCAAGATACATTTAACATTTCTAAATTAAAACCATTTTCCTTTTTAGCCTTAAGAGTGTTGTACAGCTTGGATGTTTGATATAAAAGGCATATTATTAATCCACCACTCATTACAGCAAATGTGTACAACCAGGGAAGAAGAAGCATGGAATCCTGAAACTAGAAAGATATAAATTTAATTAGACATTCAAGTTGTTATATTGCATAAATAAGAAACATTTTTTCAACTTTCTAATTTTTTTTCGTTAATTAATGCATGAAATTCTGAATTATATTACTCAAATCAAATAAAATTTTTTATTAATTCTTTTATTATATTGATATTTTTATTATTGCTCTTTAGTCATTAGATACTAAAAGAAAAGAGCTTGTATTAAATTAATAAGAAGTAAATGATTATTTACTTTTGGCTAAAAGCAGTGGATATAGATAAATAATACAGCATTTCTATTTTGAGCTGTGCCATAATAACTGCTCTTAATATATTTTTTTAAAAATTAGTCAAAATGAAGACCAAAATATGTAGTAATAGCTGATATGTGCATGCAGGTCAAAAATGCTATCAAAATCTGTTGAATTACTCGCGAGAAAGCTGATTGAAATACACTAAATCCAGTTTGATTGCTTGATGGAACTTGTAGGTGTTTCAATCTTTGATGTTTTCAGTTTCACTTTCATAAATTAGATTGGTTCGATTTTGATAGTTTTTTTTTGTTGCTTCATTTAAATATTAATTTGCGGCTCCTAATATATACATTTTTTCACACAGATTTTAAAAATATATGTAAGGGTTGGTCATTACTTTTATTTTTGAGCTCTCAAGGTATGTTCTGGTAAACACTCTTAAGAAGACTATTTGGTTTCTAATTATGTGCCAAGTTTAATTTATTGCATCTAGTGCTATTTAACTATATATTATTAAAATCAAGCTTTTCTGATATTAAAAGATGATTTTAACATTTTTGTGGTAGGGTTTTGATTTAACTTAATAGACAATTTTTAATAAAAAAAAAAAATCGAAAATACGAAGAAAAAAAATCAAAATTTTGAAGAATCGATTGGTTCTGGATTTCATAAAATTCAAGGAAAATTAATCATAATTATCCCTCTAACTTAATATGTATCAAAAGTAATTTGTCGACTCAATCAATGGTGTGGCTTTTACTTAAAATTTTTAAAAAAAATTTACAATTTTAATGAAATAAAGTAAACTTAAAATCTGCATTTTTTAAGAAAACTAAAAGGAGAAAATAACTTAAGTTTCGTTTGATCTAAAGCAAAAATGTAGGGTGACAGTGTGATAACTGTTGAAAAGTATAAGGGAAATTTTAAGCGGGATTGAAGTTTATTACAAAAGTAATTTATTTTATGCCCTGAAAAGAATAAATTTATTTTCTCCAAAGCCTTATTTTCATAATTATTTTTATTTATGATCATTATACAAAAGGAATTGCACAAGGGATTCTGTACCTGTACTAAATGTCCTTGATATTTATAAATTTCTAAGAATCATTGTTTAAAATTAAGGCAAAAACTATGCACATTAAGGATTACAAATTAATATGTACTGAATAAGAAGGAAGAAAAATATTTCGCACTTTAATTGATTATTATTGTGGTTTGCAAAAATAGAAGACATCATCAAAAAAATAAAATATTTAGTTTGATTTAAAATGTTTTGTCTTTAGCAAGGCTATGAGCTTTATTCTCAAATAGTCAGATTTTGTGTGATTTTAATCCCTGTGCCATTTCAATAGTGATTGGTTACAGTTTTTAACAGAGAATTTTATTTCATGGGGGAAAATCCTGCTCTGGAAGAAAAAAGTTTTCCAACTCAAGTGGAAGAAATGAAAAAAACTTATTTTAAAAAAGAAAAATATTTCATAAAAAAATTTAGGCAGTTTATAATTGCAATCTAGATTAAGTAATGGTATTATTCAAGTTATTTAATATATAATGTTAAATAAGTGAAAACTTTAAAGCAACAATTGGAAACAAACAAATAATAAATTTAATGAAACCATAAGTAATTAAAATAATTATTTCTCTCAACTATTTTACACAAAGGTGTGGAGTAAAACCTTATTTTACAATTATATATTGTTAAAATATTAATCAATTATATTAATACTATTTAACAAATCATACATTAAACACATACACACTTCTCCAAGTATATTGAATATTAAAAATACATCTTGAATTTACAATTATAAACAACATACTAATTTTAATAATCAAATATAGTTAAGAAAAGATAATCAGACTCTTGGATTGTATGTAAATACATTTTAAAATTCTACATAAAAATTAAATTCAGAATAAGAAAATAAACATTTTTTTTAAAAAGGGAATGTAAAAAATTGCTAAACAAGTGTATTGCTCATTTTCAGTTTCCTCCAGTTTTTTGTGAGGGATTAGTTTTCTGCAAGAATGACAACCCAAGTTTCAAAACGCTTTTCTCGAATAATTTGTGTCGCTCAATATGTATACTACTTTTATGCTTACTGTTAGCTATCACGAGTCAAGACTGAAAGTGTGAGGTAATCTGCTGATTTGGAAACAAGAGTAAAATCATTTGGCATGGAAGAAAATTGAAGAAATAATATGACTTTCTTAAGCTAAACCTAAGTGTTACATTTAACATTTCACCCCTATTCAAAGTCACTTATGTTTGGTATCCTCAGCATGCTGGTCTGGTATCTAGAGTAGTTCTCTTGATAGCCGGATAGTACAAGGAGTCTAAATATATTTATTAAACCTATGACACAGAATTTTTATGAAATATATTTTTCTTACGTTTTTTTCATTATTTTGTATTATTATAGGTCAAAATAAGTGAAAAATTGTATATTTAGCATCTTAAAAATTTATTGCGAAATATAGTATGAAACACCAGTGTCTCTTTTTGCTTTAAAGGTAAAAATTTTTCGAACACGGCTCATTTCCAAGCAATAATTTTTCAAATTTGCTGTTATTTAGATCTGAAAGAAACGGTTATTTATCATTTAAATTTCTTTAATTTAAAATCAATTATTGATAAATATTTGAATATGAAAGAAATGTTTTTTTTCAAACAATTTTTTTGGGGGATATTATATTTTAGTGCGAATATAATTCAGATTATCTAACTGATTTTTTAGATACTATTAGATAGTTTTTTTAACAATTAAAAAACTCCGAAATATATATTTTTGCTTTTAATTAAAACAAATATATAAAAAGGACTGTGTCCCTTTCCATCTTTGTCAAATGATTAAGAATGGTTTTACATATCAGCTTGCATGCAAACACTAAAATCTTACCTCGGGTTCAAGTGAAGAGGTTATAATGGCTATTGCAGTTGAGACATTTTGTATTCCACATTCTGTGGCTATTGTTTTTCTGACCGGCATATCTTGTTTAAAACTATAAGCCAGAACATATCCCAGGGAGAGACCAAGTGGGGGAAGCATGAGAAGTATTCCTCTTACGTTGCTTGGCACGCTTGAAAACATTCTTGGGAAAAAAATAATTATCAAGATAATGCAGAAAATGATACCAATGAAGCCTATGTATTTCGCCACCTGTGGGAAGAGATGTCTTAATTTGTGCATCAAATAAATGTCAACCTGTTAGTTTTCAAGTCTTTAAACAATCAAAACTCTAAAGCTAATTTTAAGACTATTTTTCGGAGCTCTTTCACATTACTAAAACGTTATTTCTTTAGAAAATCGCCAGTAACATTTTCAACATTTAGGTGACAAATGTTGAAAATTATATCAATGGAATTATATCTGTTGGAAGAGCATTTTTTGTCTTTTAATTTATGCTTCAAATAATCAATGTCAATGTGTTAGTTTTCAAGTTCTTTTTTAAGCAATTTAAATTCATTTTATGGTTGTTTTCTCTTTCGTCAAATCACAAAGCAATTATCAGAAAATCCAGAAATTAGTATATTTTTATCACTCCAAACTATGCCACAATTAAACGCAATTCATTCTAAAGATTAGTTGCTCTTTTCATATTTCGCCTTTTATAATATCAGCTTATGCTGAAGATGGATTGAACTTAACATACATAACAGTTATGAATAAGTGTTACGAACTCATAAAATTGTATCAGCAAAATAGCTAATTAATTGCTGAAAAGAATTTATAATGAAAGAGCCTTCATTATGAATTCGCAGCATTTACGTGACCCCCTGATATATAACTTTTTTAAACTTGTACATTTCGACAAAAAAATAGACTAAAAATGTCATTTTAACAATAATCTAGATTTAGGAATGAATATAATTTTAGATTTGAAATACCCGTATGTTAATTAGACAAGATCATTTATGCATTTGTATAAATGCCACAAAAATTTTGTTCCACAGTGTTATTGATTACTTTAAGGAACAAAAATTTTTCATTTCTCTACTTAAATGATATCTATGAGATAAAATGGGAATTTGAAGTTATTACCTATTTTTAAAAAATACTAATTAGTATTCTATTCAAGATTCATAATTTAGATTTTTATTTTATTTTCAGAAAGTGATATTAAACACTTATACAGATTTTCGTAACATTGTGGAGTTTCTTTTTTTTATTTTTAAAGTGGGACTTTTTGTTTTTAATTGAGACTTCCTAATTATGAAAATTAAGAGGGGTACATTTTTAAAGGGCGCACTAAACCGAAGTACCGGTTCTGGGCCCAAGTTAACCATGGTCAGGCCCTGTTAACCTGAAGAAGTTATTATTGGAAATACTAATTTATAAGGAGTGAATGTTTACACTATTGTATTTAAAAAATTAAAAAAAAAAAATTATTTTTAAATTTTTTTTATCATTGTAGCTCGTTGTTTCAACCTTCTTTTTTATTTTTGAAAATCATTTGTGTTTGCAGCATATCGCTATACATACCCTTGTAAAGAATTTGTATGTATCTGGAAACTTCCATCGGAGCAGTTTGCCTCCTATTATTGGCACTAAGATGAATACTAGGTGTAAAGCTACTCTTCCATAGGGTATAATTAAATCATCTGTTTCAAAGCTGTTGCCATAGATCCACAGGTTGAATGGCATCATGCCCAAGGCCATTAATGAGAGCAAAATCGTCATTGCCACACTTAAAAAAACAATAAATTCAACTCATTTCTTAATTTAAAAAAAAAAAGTAAAATTAAAAAAAAATTATAAAAATAAATAATCGAATTTTATAAAAATAAATAAAAAATTGCTGCATTGTATACTCCACCGTAATAAATTGGATTTTACAATTATAAATTATGTAATTTGAGATGATATAAAAATGACTCAATACCTTCAATTCTTGAAACGGTAAATATGGTAATGGTAATATTATAATAATGGTAACATAATATATGAATGGTATATAACAATGGCACTATAATAAATGGTAATCAATTTCAAGACATTTATTTAAAAATATTTTCACTCAAGAACTCAGTTAAATTGAATTCCTAATTAATCATTTCATACATTTTAATTTATTTAATAAAATTATTCTATTTTTCTACGAAAAGGTACAATAAATTTCCTTATAGGGAGGGGGGGGGTTAAGTTCATACCTTGCCTCTGGCACCACATTGGAATTAAAATAATGGTTGAAGGTATAACTGAATTTTTGGAATTTTATTTATGTCAAGGAATTTTTACTTGTTCAAAAGGAACGAACGATTTGATATACATAGCCTTTTCGATGTTCAACAAGTATTAAAATGTAATGTTGATATTTCTTGATGGCATCCGGAAACAGATGTGTTGCACTTTTTCTTCAGTTGTTTTGTGGATTTTATTTCATGCACAATTCTTTTTACTTGTTTAATTCTATGTGACGTTTAACTCTAACGTACTAAGATGCAATCGTGATCATTTGAGGGTCTAATCTTAAATATGTTAACTAATTTGTTCAAACGATATTTTAAGTTACTAAATCAAACATAGAAGCGTACTTCTTTAGAATTAAAAAGTTTTTTTTTCTATGACTTTTGGATTTTAGACTCTCAAAATAAAGGGGATGGGAGATAGCCCCAATCCTTAGTCTCTATAGTTCAAGAGCGCGTACAGTGATAATATTTATGACAATGCTTCACACACATATATATCTTTGTATTTTTGAAAAATATTTTACGTGTGTACATCAAAACATTAATGCAAGGCAGATATTTTACATTTAATAATAAAATTAAAGCTACTTAATCGTTACTTTGCTAAAATTTTATGCAATAAAATTTTAACAAAACTTTTTATTGCATAAAAAAAATTAGAACTATCCCCTTTCTGTAAATCCTGTAAATTAATTAATTAAAAACAATGTATAAGTAAAAAAAGTTAGTTTTAGGAAAATGTATTGTTTTTTTCATTTTGTAATCGAGAGTTATTTACTTTATTGGGAGAGTTATTTACTTTAATCGAGAGTTATTTAAAAGCTAAATTGGTCTTAGTACTAAATTTAAAAATGCTATTTCAATAAGGGTGACTTTAATAGGGCAATTACTACTAGGGACTAGTATAATTTGTAATTGTTTAAAATAAAATTAATAAAATTTAAAAGGAAATATAATTTTTACTTCCAGAGAGGTGCAAGTGTACTCTTCTGACCCCCTTGCTATGAGTATTGTCAAGAAAGCGATCGGAAGTTTGGGTCCGTTCTGTATCTTTCTTGTTTTGAAATATTTAGCGCTTCTTATCTTAATCCAAGAGAAGTATGTATTATCTTTAAGAAAATCTGATTGTATGGAATAATAAAACATCACTAAATTAAGAATACCTTAAAGATAAATTTCCGTCGCTGAAGTAGGCAAAGACATTAGATAACATGCCCCCGCAACAGCAAGAGATGATTAGAACACCAGTGGCGTGATGCCCTTTAACTCCGCAACTCCTCAATAAAGTGTATGTGGTCAGTGGGATGATAAAGAATTGGCTGACCATCCCAATTCCAATGCCAAGGGGATGTTTTATGTGATTTTTCACCTACAGAAGAGATCAAGGGAAGAAAATTAAAAAAAGAGATCTTTTTTATTAAAAAAAATATTATACTGTAAGAAAATAATACTATATTTAAATATTAATGATAATGCTAAGCGTAAAATACGCTTGTTCTTATTCGTTCAAAAGGCACTTCAATTTTAAGGTTTCTAAATTTATTAAATTTTAATACTGAAACATTTTATTACCAACTATCAATAATGATAACTAATTGTTCAAATTTTTTTCGATCACGAATTTCAAGTTCTCCAACTTTATATTATTATCCTTTAAATGCAAATATCTTAAAAATCTGAACTTATCGGTTATTGGTACTGTGGCGTGTCTCCCACTTCAGGTATTATATACCAATTTACTAGTATAAAGGACATATTTACTCAATTTTATCTTGGGGGTATTTTTGTTAGATGAGGGTTGACATTGTCGGTAACATTCTTTCCTCACATTGGTGAACCGGACGTGATCTGAACAACCCTACCCAGACAGTAACGTCCACTTCGATGGATGGTCTACATTGAACAGTTGACTTACTATTTTTGACTGCGACATTGTCCTCCTCATGCTGTTGCTTCTCAGTCTCAATCATACACACTCACCAAGAAGCCTGCACACAGTCGACTGCTATTAGCACACAACCGTGATCTTAATACGGCTCTCCCGGCGTCTGAACAGCAATGAATCAACTAGTGATTATCAATCATCGAATTCTGTCATCAGAGAGATAATTAAGGCCGGGATAGCCTGGTCGTAGGGCGCTGGGCCCATGTCCGAGAGTTCGTGGGTTCTAACCCCGCCGGCCGAAGATCCCCCGTGTACAGTAAATGGTGATTGATGCACGTTAAATCTGTCGAGTCGCAAAGTCATCCATCTTCCAATAACAAATCAATACCTCCGGAGGTGCTGAATTGGAGATTGATCGTTCTCTGATTCAGGTCATAATTACGATCTGTGGATGAATGAATGGATGTATGAAAGGTTCTATCCAATTAACGGGTGCGACGTATGGGTGTGGCAGAAGTCGAATTCATGGCCATAGATGGCGCCACTGGAAAACAAGAGCAATCGCACCCCTCTGCCTTAAACAGGCATACGTCAACAACAAAAGATATAATTCTAGTGGGGGAATACTGTGGCGTGTCTACCACTACAATTATTAAATATCAATTCACTAGAATATAAGACAAGTTAACTTAATTCTATTTGGGGTACCTTTTGACAGATAAAAGTTGACATTGTCGGTATCATACTCTCCTCACAGTATCATGAAGCCAAATTCACCTACACATAAATACATTGAAATTTTCATTGTGTAACATCTTGAAAAATGAAGCAATTCTATATATGGTGGTTTTTTGAGATTTTTTCCCCATTAAGCTATGCGAAAATATATTAAAAATCCTAAATACATCTATTTATGGTTGGATACATTATAATAAATCAAATCATCGACTTTATTAGCACTCTTTTCTTTATGTCTACAGAAACATCAGAGCCTGATTTATCATAAGGACTGAGAAGCCCAGGCCTTACGATAAATCAGGCTACTCATTCCCAGGCCTCCTCATTTCTGGGACCCCCTTAATGTTTCAAATAATTTATTTTCGTGTTTTACCTTAAGAATTGTCTATGAATTATGTCTTATAATTATGAGTTAACAAAGATTGAAATAAATATGAGCTCATATTTTCTAATTTATCGTAATGTACTGAAGTTATAAATAATTTTAAAACACTTCATAATTAAACAATAAGTAAAACAATAAGTAAATTTTGTTTATAGTAACGATCAGGGGCCCCTGACAGTTCTAGGCCTAGGGCTCCCTCTTTTCTAGATCAGGCCCTGAGTACCATGGATATATTCCAGTGTCAAATTTTTCATCGTGGTACAGCGTTGAAAAAGGAAACAATTCTGTAAATGTTGGATTTTTATAGTTGCTTTCTACATAAAAATAATGCAAAAATATGATAAAAAATGCTTAATACATCGACCCAATGTGATGTATTAGTACAAAGAGAAAGCAAAATGACTAAAGTAAATATAATAGTAAACTATATAAAAAATGAATGTAAAATTTAAACTTTTAGGTTTTTATTCTTTATTATGTCTACAGCGCCATTATTTATCATCTTCAGATCCTAGGTATCCATTAGAATACTTCATCAAATACAGGGTACCTATCCACAACCTGGTAAAATAGCAGAGAACTGCCCGTAAGACTTCTTAAAATTTCGTGAAGTTAACTTTCAATTATTTTTATAAAAGCAGTTTTTAAGCTTTCACACAACTATAAACAGAATCAAATATTTTTGGCAGAGAAGAATTAATACTACAAAGTATATAGTATATATTTATTTATATAGTATATATTATTAGTATATATTTTTTTCTTTCTATTTTTCAAAATTTAGCGACCAGGCCATGCTTGGGGCGTGCCATAAAAGGTTCGTATCGAAGGACATCAATGAAAAAATAACAATTCTTCTATTAATATCAACTTTTTGTAATTGTTTTCTAAATTAAGATGTGAGCAAAATTATAATAAAATTCATAAATACCTCTACCCAAGATATTTCACAACCAATCGCAAACATAATAACTATCAAAATTGATAGCAGCAAATTATCGAAAATAAATGTAAAATTAGAGTCTTTAGATATTTCTTTCATGCTGCCCATAGTACTATTGATGTATACATAGGTTAAATTTTTCATCTTGGAAAAAATATATTGCAAAATCTATCTACGATTTCCAAACTATAGCGAACGAAAATGAAATAAATGAAACGGTGGCAAGAAATTACTCATTGCATATCAGAATATTAATCAAATTTTACGACGAATTTAAAGTTCGGGTCAGATAAATGGCTAAGATAGCTTTTTATATGAAGAAAAGAAGCAATGCTTTCTCAGTTTTTTTCTTCTTTTAATTCGGCGTGACATTTTAAGATTTATGTTCTATAATATTAACGCATAGACAAATTTATATACTTAAATTATACTTTCGAATGAAAATGTTAGATTCCATTAACTACAAATTTATATTTTCTGTCCTTATTAAACCAATTGAAAATAAATTTGTTCAAACACATAACTTAAATATTCAAGATCATCAGATTTGAGTTTGTGCCAGATACTGAATCTGTTACTGATTCCATTACTTTAACATTGTAATATAGAGTTTGGTTCCAGGAATTATATCCTCTAATATAATTGCCTAATCTCAAATTTTTTCATGAAAAAGTACAGAAACAAATCATCCAAAAAGAAATTTTAAAAGTTAATTCTACAAATGTGTATTGCGATACCTATTTTTTGTCTGCGATACCTATTATTTTTCTATAATTTTACCGTGGATTTTTTTACCTTTTGATACTGATGCAAAATTCACTAGACTAAAATAATAAGACGATTATATGAGTTTAGTGTAATAATATGCCATAAAACATTCCAAAAAGTTAATTGAATAAAATTTCTAATAATTTTTCATTTCAATGCTTTTTCAGGTTTTTCTTTTTTAATTCAGCGCGATATTTTAAGATTTATGTTCTATAATATTAACGCGTAGACAAATTTATATACTTAAATTATACTTTCGTATGAAAATGTTAGATTCCATTAACTACAAAAGCAAATTTATATTTTCTGTCTATATTTTTTTTAACCCATAGCTTAAATATTCAAGATCATCTGATTTGAGATTGTGTCAGATACTGAATTTACTGATTTCTGTTACTAATTTCATTACTTTATCATCTTAGTATATAGTTTTGATCTGGGAATTATGTCCTCTAGCATTAGCTAATTTCCAATTTTTTCATGAAAAGGTGCAAAAACAAATAATCCAAAAAGATAATTTAAAAAATATTTAAACAAATGTATATTACGGTACCTATTTTTTGATATAATTATTTTCAATAAAATCTGACTTTAAAGTGTAGCATAAATTTTTGATTTGTTTAGCAATTGTTTCTGTTTATGTTATTCGAATGTAGAGTTTTTTTTTTTTTGAAAAAAATGTGAGTAAAAGATATCCAAAGGAAGATTTCAGAAAACAATTTGTATAGAAAAACCTTTTTTTCTTTTTAATTTATATAAATCTTTTAATAAGAGTTACACTTTGAAAAAAAAAACAAAAAAAAAACAAACAACATTTTGAATTTAAGTTGAAAATGTTCTTTTTAATGGCAAACAAATATAGTGTGGTTGGAAGAAAAAATGTGTTAAAATTGCCAAAAAGGATAGACAAAAATTTAATTTTGCAAATTTTTTCAGAGACATTTGAAATTATTTTGACATAAATTACTTTAATAAATATCATACTTTAAAATGGTGGTTTAAATTTAAAGTTTTAAAATATTATTTTAGAATTAGTTGAACTTACTTAACTTTTAATTTTATTTATTTTCAGTTATTACATAAAAAAATGATAAATTTTTTGTTGCATAACATAAAGTAATTTTACCGTGAATTTTTTTACCTTTTGGTACTGAAACAAAATTCACTAGATTAAAATAATAAGATAATCATCCGAGTCTAGTGTAATAATATGCCATAAAACATTCCAAAAGGTTAATTGAATCAAATTTCTTACTTTTTTAAAAATTTTTATGGCAATTAAAGCCTTTGACCATTGAGGGTAAATTTATATATATTTTTACGCTTTGTAAAGTCAAACAAACAGAAAAAATCCTTAAAATATTTTCATGTGATATTGTACTACTAAACGTTGTATTCACCAAATTTTGGTACAATACCAAAATGTTTTGTTCCAAATGTTCTGTATTTCATCAAATGTTTTCCTATATAGTCTCACGAAGATATGCCATTAGACTAATAACATAGTCTAAAAACATAGATTAATAACATAGTCTACGAGATATACACGCACAGGTTGAATGATCCTTACTGGGGCTTTAAATTACTCTTACACCTATTTTTAAGTCATCTTATTAAGCATCTGTTATGATAGTACCAGCAATGTCGATA